TGAGATGTCGAATACGCAACATTTAAATGTTAATGTTTTCATTGTTCATCAAGGGCCAGCATTGTAAGCCTTGGGGCGGTCCTTCTATTGACACAAGATATGAAATCGAAAAATAATTTCTTGAAAACGGTCCTCTATACAAATATCAAACTAAATATTTACCAAATACTCGACTGGTATGACAAAACTATTTGTTATTTAACACCAAGCAAATACGGAGTATATCTCTCTTGTAATGAATAGGAGTACGAAGTGTTAATGTCACTTCAAAGATGCTGCTTTCAAATACCCACAACAATAAATGGCCTGATCAAAGCTTCAGTTTGCTGGTCGAATATGAAAGATGTGTAAATGCAATATCTATCACCATGAGGCACTTCATAATCCCAAAATATGATTTGCGTTACAAATCTGAGGTGTGTGCGATACTAAGGATTAAGGGTGTTATTTACACAAGAATATGATGAATGACTGGCGCGAGGGTGCGTATTCTAGGTCTGGTATAGAACAGGACAATACTGGGGTTCCTCGGATCAAATGGGGTGCGGGTTGTCGGAACAAGATGTGGGTAACCCTCTCCTAGTTTGAGCTCAAAAGAAGGCAGTGCATTGTTTGAGAGAATATTTGAAGTTCATTTTATATGACATTTTGAGAAGTGCTATGCCTGGAACCTGTAGCCCGAGCTGGAGATACGTGTGGTATGGCATATGTACACACACAGTCTGAATGCATAACCAGGTTTGATTCAAGCAGCACTGAAACCCAATCTCCCACAATCAATGAATTTTTATGTAGTTTTTCAGATTTGAAAGCATAATAAAAAGGTTAATAGACAGCTTCGATCTTCCTGGTTTTTCAGTCGGTGCAGGATTACGCTAAAACTGAACATAGCCTAAACATTCATACAAGTGAATGCGTAAAACAGCAGCAAATTCAAGCCCTGTTTTTCTTGTTTATATACAAGATTGTTAGGAGCCGCAGGGCAAATCCACATGTTTAGGGTGCCACCACACGTGTCAGGAAGCTTTGTTCATGTATTCATGTAATGGTTTTGTTCATTTTCATTTTTGTTAAAAAGAGGGTTTGAAATTGAAATGAATATTGTCAATGAATAATAGTTGTTACCTAAAAAGTTAAAAGTTTGTAATGTTATTTTTATTTGTTATTTGGAATGTGGATGTTTTAAAATGCTGGCACAATTATTGTGTATGATCAAGTGAGTTGGGCGTACTTATTAAGATAATAAGGTCCTCTGATTCAACATGTGGTAGTACAACATCATAAGTTTGTGTGGTCTTGGCCGTGTTTTGTCAGAACTTTGACAGACAGGACATATGTGAATGGATCATGTATAGATATTATCTAAGTTTTATCTTTTTCAAATATCTCTGTCAGATGACATTAGTGGAACATAAACTTTTGACAAGGTCACAAATAAGAATGTAAAAGCAAGTGTGTGAAATATTTTGAACAGATAGCTACTTCATCTGGTTGTCAGTCTTACAATAGAATAATGCCACGTGAAATTTAAGGTATGTAGAATTTGTAAATGTTTTACACCTGAAGAATTAAGTAGGTCAAAGTCATTCCTCTTATCTGTCATGATGTATAATTGAAATTATCTCCACTGGCAGCTTACGCGATCCTTTGTGAAGCTAGCCCATCCCAACAGGGAGACAGCCCTTCAAGCTATGTAAACGTTTTTCAAATTTGCATTAAAAAAATATTAAAGTTGTTAGACATTTTTGTGCTATCATTGTGAGTCTTTTATGCCTGGTTTGGGAGAAATGTGATGTACTGATAAGTTTTGGTATTAACCCAGTGTTTTGGAGTATGCACAAGAGCAAAGCATTTTTCAGGTCTTTCCTCTGAGGATGATAACATAGGCTGGCTGGGTCCATTCAGATAGGCAGTAGTTAGTGTGTTTGATTATCAATCCTAGAGGGTTCAAATCCAGACCTGGGCATGAGTGAAGACTATCCTTGGTGTCACAAATCCACCAAACTGCCAGTTCACACATTCAGTAAAGAAAAGTGACAAAGTCGTTTCTACAATCATAAGAAATGTCATTTAATTACTGAGTAAAATGTATGATTCTGAATCAATGTTTAGGAATCTGTATCAAATACTGATGATACCTGGTTATGGTGAGCAGATCTTGCCTCACTTGTGGCAGGAAAATAACAGAAACAAATCGCAAAGGGAAGCCAGTAATGTAGTTTATCTTGAAACCAATCTCCTCCCATTCCAGGAACATACTCCCCTACCCACCCAGCGACTCATCTGTACAGCATTCCACTCACCCACCATGAGGGTCAAGCATTCAGATATAGGGGCAGTAGAATAGCCTAGTGGTTAAAGCGTTCACTCGTCATGCTGAAGACCTGGGTTCGATTCCCCACATGGGTACAATGTGTGAAGCCCATTTCTCGTGTCTCCCGCCATGATATTGCTGGAATATTGCTAAAAGTGGTATAAACCTATACTCACTCACTCATTCAAATATGAATACAGTATATCATGAAATGTATCAAGAAAACAATGCGCACAAGTACAGGAACAAATGTGACATTTTAGTAGTGCAAGCTACCAAGAGTCGCATTTCTTGTTTACGCTTTCTGCTGTCATTAATTTCACGATTCACTGTATATATTTTACATATTTTTTTATAAAAGAAATATGTCCCCTCATATCTGCAAAACAATGTTTTCCACTAAACTTATTACACTGGCATACTAGACAATTGGATGGCTCTTGATGTCATGTTTTGAGTATTTCCATCAGCATGCACAGATCGTATGGGCAGTGTATTTCAAGGTTACAAGCTACACAGAGAAGAGAGTGTTTCATTTAAAACTACACCCCATTCTTCTGGCATCCCTCAAACTGTCAGTTTAATTGGAAGATGACTTTAGGCATCATACTGAAGTATATTTATAGCCAGGATGAAAAGTGTTGTATGAAGAATTAGCTGTATGTTGGCCTACAAGGGTGTGGGCAATATATGGGCCTTATACAACAGATGTATGTGACCAATGAAATGAGCGGATCATGCGAGGCCGTGTCAACACTGTGTGATATATTTGAAGACTTTGTTGATGGCGTGCGATATGAAATATAGCTTCTCTTGTCATGAACTGGACATGACACAACAAGCTTCTTTCAGGGCGATTATACCACACCATGGTGGGACGATTATTCCTCAGTCTTGGCAGATTGCCAGAAACCCTATCTAATCGCTCGAAAATACTGACAAAATCTTAAGCTGTAATTAGCTGTTATTGTGTCTTGACGGATTACTGTGTTCTGCCAGATATTGATAACAGATTTTAAAGGGAGTTCGTAAAATCACTCCAACTGCGTCAAACCATTTCACCTTTACATTGAGAGCCCACCAACATTCTCGTGATAAGATAAGGTTGTTATTGCTGTAATGGCCGTCTCGCTCAAAAGGCTTGTAGAAATTACATAATTTTCCCAACAAAAGCGGTTTTGAGAAAGTTTCACAATGCATAATGTAATCTTGGATCTGCTAAACTGTATTGCAATTTAGGAAATATAAGTCACAGTAATTATTCTGGTATGAAAGTCTTAACAGAAGAAGGCTTTCACTAGTTGTTAAGAAGACATTCTTGACCAGTTCTCTATCAGATTGCACTGATCGGTGTAATTTTTGAAAATATTATCACCTTAGTATTACATATATATTCTAGAACAATATGACACTGACTTAAACATTGTGGGGCAATAATGTTTGTTTAGCATACATAGGTACAGTTTTGTGATGGATGATAGTGATATTGGCAGGAATTACACTGGACATTAAGCAACAAAGAACTATTCATTACTATCAGGGATTCCCTCAGAAGGAATCATTAACCTCATTGGTGTATTATCAACCGGGTTTTAAGACTATCTTAAAAACCACTAACTTCATGACTGGTTTGTTGCATACAACATAAACTATTGTTTGACGATAAATTCTTTCCTGGCAGCATATAGATTATTCATACACACAGAAGCTTTATAAGCCCATAAACAAGATTGTGTAGGAAAGGTTTGCATTCCGAGAAGCGAACATCACAGTCTAACGACTAAATGACAAAAAATGTATTTATCATGCAGTGCTTGAGACCGCATGGGGAGCGTCTGGGAATAAATGTTTTCCTTGGATGATATCATATCGGGGGTTTCTATTTAGAGGCCAGAGAAATGGATGATTTGTTTAAGCTAAATAGCTCACTTGCCTCTAACAAATAGAATATTCTTGCAAAACCATTGCTTCTGTTGTTTCCAGAATGGAACATTAAGGGTCCTTAATAGAATAGCTAAAGGCCACAGTAGCGACATTCGTGCACACTTTTCCCATAATTCTATATCAGTCTGAAGCAGTCGATGTAAATATGTGATAAGATGGCCAATTCACATCTCAATACATATTTGGAGTCATTTAATGTGTTTTTTAATCTGAAATGTTTATTTTGATGTTTTGGGGAGATTATTGATACTAAAGTGTTTAAAACATGAATTGTGAGGTCTTTGTTGATTCTGTGACTCCGGGCATGGAAGAGTGCAACTCAAAAGCAGCTGTGAACACTATTATTTTCCCTCTTTTATATGTTCAAAGTGACATTTATACAAATTCCAATACTTACTGGTATTTTATTAAAATAAATCATTTTTAATATTATTTTAAAAACTGATTTCATTTAAATCTGTAAGTTTGATAGCTGTTAGCAGAAAGCTAGCGGCTGAAAAATATCATTGAATATCACATGAAAGCTTTTCGGCCAAATTTGTTCTTTTTTTCCACAATCTCTATTCCGGGTTTATATAAGCATATTGATTACAGAATAATGTTGTTGATTTATAAAATGTTATGTTTGTCACAGCAGTCTCTGTTTGCTTGGTTCAAAATATCAACACAACATTGAAAAAAGCCCATATTGACATGTGTCTTGTTTTATATAATTTTCTTATAGTGTCTTCATTCATTTCAGCAACAAGAACAAGATCCCACTAACCTGTATATAGCTAATCTCCCCTATATACTTCACCGAGAAAAATTTAGAAAATATGTTTAAAGACTACGGTACAGTGATATCCACAAGAATATTGAGGAAACCTGATGGATTGAGTCGTGGAGTGGGCTTCGCGCGCATGGAGTCGAGGGAGAAGTGCCAGCAAGTTATTGATGCTTTCAATGCTAAAATTTTACCAGGTAAGAAACAGATCTCTTAATAATGTATAAATACATATCTTATATAATAAATAAATCTCTTATAATAAGAAGTATAAGAGTGAGTGAGTATGGTTTTGTGCCGCTTTTAGCAATATTCCATCAATATCACGGCAGGGGACACCAGAAATGGGCTCCACACATTGTACCCATGTAGGAAATTGAACCCCAGGTCTTCAGCGTGACAAATGAACACTTTAGCCACTAGGCTTCCCAAGCATCCCAGAAGTATAAGAACACAGAAAGGAGAGATAGATCTGTTGATTTGAATAGTAATTAAGTATTGTTTCGATTTTGTATGTTTATGTGCTTATATCCACATATTAAGGGGGCTGTGTGGTGGCCAAGTGGTTAAAGCACAGGCTTGTTCGACCTAACACCTGTGTTCAGTTCCTTGATGGGTAAAACCCAGTGTGAAACCTCATTCCCTCACTCATGTTCAGTGCATCAGATCTGATCCTAGGGAAGAGATAAGTAAGTTACTTTGGGTATATATGTATGAATTTGAGTTTACAAAGTTTCCCTGTAATCTATTTTTGTATTGATGATATTTGTCATGAATTTTGCTGACAATAGATGTAGGACAAAATGTGAGGACAAAATCAATCAGATCTATCTGTGAATGACAACAGATTTCTAATCATACAAGGCTTACAAAATTGATTGCTGGACAAACACATCCAAAAGGTAGTGACCTTTATGTCTAAATATTTAGGGCAAGTAAGATAGGCCTCTTTGCGTGATTTGGAGAAGAATGCTTGTAAAACTCGCCGAGAAATTCATCTCCAGTCAAATTGATTTATGAAAGTATGGAGTCGTGACTTTCCATTAACAAGAGCGGTTATTTGTCCGTACTGAATAGATCACCACAGATCTATAGAAAAGCAATCAATACTATGCAGGCTCAAATTTGATTTTGATACACAAGAACTGATTTAAATTCAGCATGAGCAAATAAATGTACATTGAGGGGAGTATAGTTTGAGAACAATGTCAAGTCAACTGTAGAATACAGCACTAGGGTGGGTGAGAGAAGCAGAGTTCAAACATGTTCGTACATAAACCATAGTAATTTACAACCTCTACACATACTGCAGATTAGTCGTAAGTCACAGATCTGCCCTTTGGTGAGCAAGGTATTTTAATGTTGTACACTGTTGTATTCATGGTGAGGTCAGCCCCATCTAGACATGGTGTTGTAATGGCAATGCAGAGATAGCTGTGGTAGTATTGAAGTGCAGGAGACGACTATAAGCGAACCACTGATGTATTCAGGGGACACAGGGGATTATATTGCTTCTTTGTTGTTACAAGTGTTGAACTTATTGGAATATCTCTCTGCCTCTCATCCAACTGAAGGCTATTGTAGAGGACCACAAACCGTGAATAACACACTGCTCCGATATCATAAGCTTATTGAAATTCGGGCGACATGCTTTGTACAAGGAGTAATTCATGTCATGGAATGGCGACCAATGTTATACAAGCAGGGTGTTGTGTTTTTTCACAACGGAGTAGTTGTGTTTTGTTTTTAAATATTCATGATCAAAACATTAAGATGAGGAATTTTTATTGCATGTGTTAAATGTTTGTCTCAAGTGAGTGAAATCGGCCATAGTGTAGAGGAATTTCAAGTGCTCTTGTAATGGCAAGCCTGTACAGAATAGTGCTGTAGTCTGAAATATACACCTGGGCCTAGATTTTCGAAGCTCTCTTAGCGCTAAGATAGTCGTAAGTGCCATTCATTAACATTAACTTATGACTATCTTAGAGCTAAGAGAGCTTCGAAAATCTAGGCCCTGGTTAAAGCTGACTATACTTCATGAATGAAAAGACTGAAATTCGTATTGCATCACCTCGAAACATTAAGCTTCAGAAACAGATACTTGAATGAGTAAGTCTTCCAGTTACGTCATGGTAAAAAGATAATTGAGGCTAAAAAAATATTTATGTTGCTTTGATGTTTGATCTGAAGAGAGTGTTTCTTGTTGAACTCTACACTCAGCTATAGTGGTCTGTATGTACTGAAGCATGGGGAAATCCAGTGATTGGCCATGGAGTATTGGAGGACATGGAATACATGGAGCAGTCGTCTCATGTAACAGGCATAGGTACCTACATAGTATGGGTGTAAGAATACTTTTGACCAGATTCAGCTATATCAAATCGGATCAGCTGAGTGTGAATGTCCCTATTAACAACCATACAGACTGTTCTAAGCACTAAGACAATCACAACAATAAGTTACCACAAACTTAAGATTATTTTAATGCTAAGATGTGTTGTGGTGTCTTGTTGTGTTGTTGTTTTGTGCTTTGTTAAAAAAATCCTGTTTTTCTGTTGTCAAACAAAGTTGTCTTGGAAAAGGCTCTAGAGTCCCCTGGCTCTGTTGCCTTCTACTGTAACGGGGGAAACAGGAAATAAAAATTGTCAATTTAAAAAAAAAATTAGTGCTAAGATCACTTTGTGGAATTGAAGTCTGTCTCGCAAAATGGTCTTAGTTCTTAGACTATCAAAAATCTGTGATAAAATATAGAAGTTACAATAGTAGTGCTGATATTCCTTTGTACAATAAGACCAATGGTCCTGCATGCTGTTGATCACTGGATATTCAGGTCCAGACATGATTATCTACAGACTACTGCCTATATAACTGGAATATTGCTGAGTGTGGCGTAAAACAACAAACCAAATCAAACCAAACTCTAGCTGTGAATGTATGCAAAGGATAAGTTACCAACAAAGTGGAAGTAGAGATAACAATGTGTCCATATTTGTGTTCAGGATAAGTTGGCAACAAAGTGGAAGTAGAGACTACAATGTGTCCATATTTGTGTTCAGGATAAGTTGGCAACAAAGTGGAAGTAGAGACTACAATGTGTCCATGTTTGTGTTCAGGTTGTACAGAAGCCTTGTTGGTGAAATTGGCAGACAGCGGCAGTAAGAAGAAGAATCAGTTCCAACAAGGGAGATTATTTCCTCCGGGAAGAGAAGATGTAAGTACAACTGTTGACAGGGTTTAAGTTGATTGGCATTTTTATGTCCACCATTCTTTATCTCTGTACATTTTCTCAGTTTTAATTGTCAAAAGAATTACTGTATTATTTGACTTCAACAATTGAGCAGTCAAATGAGAAGTAAATACTGTCACCAGTTTAATTCCATTTTCAATGATGAAATTATTACATATCAGGTTTTTAAGTATTTACTTTTTTATAACAAAGTACTTAAATTCTGCTTTTCTTATGTTTTCAGGAACTAGGCCTTCAAGTAAGTACAAATGCAGTGAAAATTCTCATTTCAGATGTTACAATCATGCCAAATAGTGTTTAATTATTTTAAGGTGCTTCATTCAGTCACCAAGTCACATGGTCCAAGGGAGATAACTATGAATTAACACTGTGTCCCAGGCACTGGACAGTGTTATTGTCAAATTGAAAAATATTTAAGATATTCAATGTTTATTACTCAAAAGCATTATGATATTTGTAATTGATGATTTATGACTGAAGAGTGGCAGTAATGACACTAGTATATCTTTTTAAATCTTTGTGTATTTGATATTTGTAGTTGATGAAGGATGGGAACAATGATCTATCTTTTTGTATATTTCAGTTACAGTTCAGTTACGACCAGCAAGCAATTCCAGCAAATCTGAACCATGGGTGAGTATTGAAACTGACAAACTGCAAGAAGAGTTTTATATTCCTTCTGTTTGTGTAATGGGTAAATGTTTGGGGCGCAAACCAGTTTGATTTGTCTCTTTGTAAGGTCTCAGATTATTTTTCACCTTTTTGCATTAACAAATAATGGAATCTCTCTTTTGGATGTGAGCAATTTTTGATTCATTAAGCACATGCAGATTATTGTCAGCTAAGAAGGAGAATATGTATCTTCATATTTTCAAAAAGCAGTTTGAGACAGTTAAGGCCTGAGTTAAGTTACCAAGCCCAAAAGTAATCATGTCAGCAACACAGAAATTGAAAATGATGTTCACTTCAGTTGATTCAGTTGAGGAGCATACTTATAGAAGTACAGTCAATGTATGCCTTATAGTGTAGCCTCTTCACTTGATCAGTAGAGTTGTGTCGATTCAGTTGAGGAGCATACTTATAGATGTACAGTCAATATATGCCTTACAGTGTAGCCACACCGGCGGCGCTGCTCCCCACAGGACTCGTCCCCCGTAACTACACATCAGTGGCGACGACCCCAGTGACGACCTATCAGGTGTCGTCCAATCCCGCCACTTGGGGAATGCATCCACAGTATATCATGCAACCTCAGCTGCCTCATGTAAGTTTTGATTTTTCAAGTTGAATGCTATGCTAGCAAAGGGGAGATAACTCGCCAAGACGAAGACCTTCAAGGGAGATCACTCTGACACACCGTGCTGTGTGATAAGGCCAATGGTCAGGTTTTTGCCATCTGAGATGTTCTTGTATATATGTATTTTTCTTCTGTTATAATTCCTTTATTGATGTGTTTTTGTTATTTTTCATTAATGATACAGTTGTTCACATGTGATTGATGTGTTAGTTTCTTTTACAGTTGATTATCTGTTGCCAACAAAGTCCATTGTTCTGAATATTGTCATCTGTTTGCAGTGTCTAGATGTCAAATATGGGGCACGTATTTTTAAGATCAGGATGAATAATTCACCCTTAGAACATCTAGGTTTATTTTCGCTGTCACTGCAAGTCCAGATTTATTCATGTTTAGACCAACTCTTTAACAAGTAATGTCTGATGTTTAAGACATAACAATGTCTGTGGTAAGGTGTTTTTTCAGCACGAAGTGTTTAACATCACATGAGTTCATGATTCCATACGGAGGATGTTTTTTCTCAGATGAACGCCCCCACGGCTAGCAACTTAAATCCACAGTGCTCGAGTTTCGATCCCTCTGCGGCCGTGGCTGGCATGACCAATTTGATGGGTCATCTACACATTTCCAATACCCCGGTAGGCCAACGTAACGCGTTGTAAGTTCCTTGTGTCTAACCAATTGGCTTCCAGAGCAATCCTCTAAAATTAACATCATTGACAGAAGTGTTGCTCTTACCAATGTGCATTCTTCTAGATAGTAGGCCAGTCCCCCTCTTCAAAGTCTAAATTAATCCAGTTTCTCCTCGTATAGATCATTTCTTCTTGACAATGCGTGAATTGTTAAAATCTTACCGTAGATGGCCAGACCCTAGATCAACATTTTCAATGCACGGTCATGTTATTTTTGGGTTGATCTTTTTCCACGCTAACACAACCAATTCAGCCTCTGTCCTACAGATGTAGTCGGTGGTTACTGAGCATGAACAGCCATCATTCTTACTTACAGAAATGGCTGACGTCTTGTAAATACTTTGCCTATGCTTGTCTTTGTTATCTTAGATTGTTCCTCTCTTAGTAGACCGGGATATCAGAAGTGACCTCCAAGAAGATTTTCTTTGTTCTTAATGAGTAGTCATTGCAACTTTTTTTTAGTATTTTAGCATGTTTTTTTTAGAAGAAATGGCTCTAGATATAATGTTTTTCATTGTTGTATATACAGAGTTGGTGTCTGATTTTTTGCATATTGTTTGTGTGTTTTGTAACCTTGTCGAAAGGAATTAGCATAGCTGACTATTTTGTGTTTCTATTGTCTTTTTATTGTAGATTCAAATCAAAATGGACCATCTGAAAGTCTGAAACTCAAAATTTTATTTCTCATTTGAACATGAACCTAGCTACAATCTTTAATGCTTGACAGCTCCATTGTTTAAAATAGTAACATATTGACGATTGCCCTGTGCTTTGAGGGCATATTGGATAATGAGTGAACAGATTTTGAGATGGTCCCCCACCTTGCCAGAGAAATGTACTAATGAATGGACATATTGTTTTATTTCACCTTGTTGATTCTTGACATCTTTCATCATTATGATCACTACAACCAAAGACTGACCTTGAATGATTGAAGGTCGCAGTTCCCTTTAGTTTGTACATAGCACAAGCTACAGTAACCATGGTAACCACATCAATCAATCTTCATAGATATTTTGATTTCAGTCATTTTAGTAAATCATATGAGATTTTTCTTCCAATGATGCGACATGATGGTGTTCACAAATATCATTATTAATGATCTGTTGTCTTCAATCACTATGACAAGGCTACATTTTGGTGATTGGCACCGATTATCAAGTTGAGAACAGATATTTTAATATTTATTCTATTTATTTGAAATTAAGTGATAACTTACAATTCTATTTATGGGTTATTATTTTTTGTTTATGACTTTTGAATTTTAAGTTTTGAAAATATAAAAATATTAGTTACTTTTATGTAGATAGTAAGAGGGCTGTTTACAAATGTATATTTATTGAAATATAGAACATATCTAAGAAATTAAGTAAATCAGAAGTTCATTTCAGTTTATTACTTCAAGTCTTTTCACGAATTCTCTCATTAAAAAATATTATATTTTTTTCATCTATCAAAAGGACTCACTAGAATTTCTTTTACTGTGAAGTTCATTTTCATTAGATTTTGTAAGATTTTGTAAAATTTGTAGATGGTAGCTATGAATCAGTTTCCGTCGCCAACAAAAGTTGACTCCAACTGAAGTGATATACTGGAATGACTTTCCGCTATACACCATGTACAGAAAGATCTATTTTGAATAAGGAACCATATATAATAACTTGTACAAAAAATCCCATAGCATTGTTTTTATTTTTTTCAAAGTGTATATCCTATGTTGTCATAAGACATGGTGCTGTTTCTATACTGTTTAAAGTACTATAATGATCAAAACAGTTATAAGCCAGTGTTGTCCATACTATAGCGGTGTGTAAAAGGCTGTACCCCAGTTCACACATGGCAGTGATGGGACTTATATGAAAAAGATCAAACTCCATAGTGGAAATCAAAACTCATTCATACCGGTACATGTAACTGATTTTCAGTGTTTCGAAGCAATTGTCAGGTAGAATTATGTAGAGTTTCTCTGTATATAGGAATGACTGAATGAAGAAAAACAGACATTAATATACTGAAGGAAAAAAATAAGGGAACACTATTAAGATTTCTTGTGAATGTTATGATATTGGATCATATTGTTTCCTTCTTATTTTGCTGTAATGAAATACTGATTTTGGAAAGTTTCTTGTTATTCTAAAGTGAGTAATTACTATGTAGAGTTGTGGTCCTTAGCAATGACAGGATCTGCTGGTTATGGGTTTAAATCCCAAATCCATTATGATCCATATCATGCTCATGGATTTTATCTTTCCCTTATTTTTTCCAGCAGTATATATCCTTATACTGATTGTTTGTGTTCATACCTTGTAACAAATAGAGTACATTTGGATATCACTTCAAATTTCACCAAAACAGAACCAGTGTAGTGACTTTGGTTGCCATTTAAAATTACCTTTTAAATATTTTGCATAATGATTAGTAGTGTGAGGAGCAAGATCAGAATCATAATCAGGCCTCGTAGTCTCATTCTTCTCATGTTGCCCAGCGGGAACGTAGAAACAAGGGAGATAAGTGTAACTGTATACTACATTCTGGTGCTATTTAACCAAATTTGTATTTCAACCTCACAAGCTCCAAATAAATTAATTTTTAGATTTTCATCAGACATCCACTCAAGCAGGCCGTCTATAACTGAAATTGCAATGTTCATGAAAATCTATGAATTAAATTATTACAGCATTGAATGTGCAGCATTACAGTTTCCAAGAAGAAAATCCATGAGGTTATTCTATCTATGATTACACATCACTGTAATTGTGTTGCTACTACCATGTGCTACCATGATAGAACCTTGAATCCAGGCATTTCATACACATATTGCAGGATACCAGTCCATCAACTCCATTTTGCTTTTTTTGACATCTACATTTGATATTAATACATTGAAAACAAATGATCAAATATTCATAATCATTTTTAGTGTATTCCCCTCCTTAGCCGTATATACTCTTTCAGGTAGCATGTATTTGGCCGATTTCTAGTCACTTGAGAAAAAATAAGATTTTATTTTGGAGAACTATTTCTACAGATCTGTTTTACTAGGGTGAAGTGCTTTGATTGAATGGATCATGCCTGTATGGTTATACCTCTGAAGATTATTCCTATACTGGTTTATAACGTTTCCTTATTGCACAGACACTGGAGAATGGGAACTTGTTTCTGTTCCAGACTGTACAAGCTAATGGTCTGATAACTAAACAACATTATCCTTGATGCTCTGTTTCATGAGGAGTAACACTAATAATGAATACTAGGATTTTTTTTGTGAAGAAAGGAGCAAGTATTCCTAAAAAAATTGCTTTTTAGATCAACAGTAATGTTTTATTTTTTGCAAATCATGTTCAGCCTGTTTTTGAAGTACAAGTATTTGAATCTGAAAGTGTCTAGTATGAGAAGGAAGTCAGTTGTAAACCAGTTTATAGAATAATCAGTTGTTTTGAAAATGTTATACATGAATCTTGTGATAAGAAAATTGTGTACAATGTTATCAAATATAAAATTATGTATTTAGTATAATTATTGTTTTGCATAAATCTATAGCAATAATTCTTTTACAGCGTACGTGAACAGCACTACGCCTGAGATGAATTCAGAATTCAAACATAATATTTTGTCATTTTTTAGAATTTGATATTTTTCAACTATTTTAATGTTGACTGTCTGTTTATTTCTGTGGAGTTTTACAGTTTTTACACAAGTAGTTATAACAATATCAGGTTATTTGTGCTGAGCAAGCATTTTTGATGTTTTTTACCGTGAGATTCATACTTATTTTACGAATATAATTTGCATATGTAAATAGCTATCATGTCATTATGTTTTGCATGTACAGGGGACACTACTCTGGACGGAATTATGTCTTACAGTGAGAGTTACCTCCCATTCATCTTTGGATAGATCACATTGATAAAACCAGTTTCTGATGTTAATTTATCTTGACCTGTGGAATGTTAAACTAATCAGCATATCACATTTTCATCCAGGGAAACAATACATTATGAGCATAACAAATGGACAGTATTTTAGGTATAGGGCACAGTCATGCTATTTTGCCAAACCCCATCCATAAGTGTACTTACAGATTTAAACAGAATCAAATATTACTATATATATCACTTTATCAGGCTTTGACATGTATGCTAGAAGTTTAAAATATTATATTTTCCCAACCCCACATATTACTTGGTTTGACTTGCCATATTAATCCGATTATCCAAAGATTTACACGGGACCAGCTACTCTTGACGATTCCTATGTGTCTCTTTACACATTCAGATACCAATTCAAAAGACTTCTTAAGGGGATATATATTAAACATGTTGCTGGATATAATCGTTATGATACACGTGTATAAAATAGAAACACTTCATTTAATTTAAACCAACAACAACAAAATTAGCATTAAGTATATTTTTTTATAGATTCTTCAAATGATGTCTTTTGTGTAGTACAACTAACTGAAGTCTGAAATTAATAAGCTCAGTGAAAATTGGAATTTAAACATCCATGACTGTACAAGTTACAGAGCATGTCACCCAGCTATGACCCAAGGTGGTGGTCCTCCTTTAAGACTGTAGGCTGTTGAAGAATGGGCAAGGAGAGGTATAGGGTTAGAGGCATACATTCCATCAGTTTCCTCCTCGATTCTCATTAACCATTGTCACTTTGTAGTTTTATATTTGTTTCTCAAATTTGACAAGTAGCGTTTCAGTTTGCTTGCAGGTGGTTGGGGCATATAATCAAGAGCATATAGAATTAGCTGACCAAATTGTGGGATGAAAAAAATAATGTAAAAAAAATATAAAAAAATATATGTAGCTGATTAGTCTCTATAATCTTGGTACTGGGAACAGATATTTACTCCTTTTTTATTTTAATGATTTTTTCATGATCCAATATGGCTGCCAGGGCACTTCCTGTGTTAACATGTTTGATTGCTACTAATGTGCCGTTTTCCCCATGACTGTTATAAGGTTCCAGTGTTGTTTGTGTGTATGAGAGAGAGAGTCTATGTTTTCTTCAATCATTATGTTTGTAGTGTTCTGATGTCCAAGACTGAGAGTCCACATTGTGAATCTCGTACGGGCAGAGAATAAATGAGCTAGAAAATACTCTGTGTTTGTTTTTTCCTAACACCAATGGACGTGATCCTGTACAACTAGCTTTGTTCACTTCCATCTGTCTGTGCGAGAAATGCATTTGTAGAGTTCTGCAGATTATGACAAACATTATATCAAACATTTATTTGGTTTTGGCAAAAGGACAAACAAAACTTCACACCAACTATGTGATTGCAGGACTTAATATGTAGTTTTGAAACTTTTAACAGACAGGTTAAGGTTTTGTCCATGTCCAATTCATACTTCATAGTTTAAACAGCATTTACTCTCATTAAAAAAGTTGAAAGTGAAAGAAACCTACATGAAAATTGTTAGTCTTGAATATTGACACCAGGCATTAGACTCATTGTTAACATGACTTGAAGCTCGTACCATGATGCTGTTGGAAGTCAATGTTAAGTTATGGGAACTATCCTAAGTCAATGTTAAGTTATGGGAACTATCCTAAGTTAATGTTAAGTTATGGGAACTATCCTAAGTTAATGTTAAGTTATGGGAACTATCCTAAGTTAATGTTAAGTTATGGGAACTATCCTAAGCTAATGTTAAGTTATGGGAACTATCCTAAGTTAATGTTAAGTTATGGGAACTATCCTAAGTTAATGTTAAGTTATGGGAACTATCCTAAGTCAATGTTAAGTTATGGGAACTATCCTAAGTTAATGTTAAGTTATGGGAACTATCCTAAGTTAATGTTAAGTTATGGGAACTATCCTAAGTTAATGTTAAGTTATGGGAACTATCCTAAGTTAATGTTAAGTTATGGGAACTATCCTAAGTTAATGTTAAGTTATGGGAACTATCCTAAGTTAATGTTGACTTTATGACTTGTGTTGGCAGCATGGTCATCTGTCAAACCTGGAAAATCTCAAAATGATGACACTAGGTACCGTTATTTGTCATGATCACTGTTAGTGATCATAGCATTCTGATCCTGGCGAATAATCCATTCCCATCTGTCAGTATTGCTCTATAACTGAGATTTACCTGGAAAGTCAGTTCTAATGCCATTCGTGAATAAGCCAAAGAAATATTAGGTCAGACATCAGCAGAATAGTTTGAATTTATATTCCAGAAAATAGATGCTAGTATCGGTATCAAATATCAGGCACTTTTATGAGGCACAAATAGTATTGTAGAGACCAACCATTTGATTTTGTAATGATTAGCAGCTAAATTCTTCTTGCATGAAAAGGTTCTCAATTTAACCTTTAAATTGGATGTACTTAAATATAGCTGTCAGTACAGGATGGTCACATATTTAATGCAGATTATGGTTTTCCGACAAAGTAAAGGACATTTTTATGTGCTGTGAAAAACAGGGGCTTGATTAAGGTTTTATAATATAATCCAAGACTATTCGACTCCTAAAAATCAAATGGTTGCTCCTTTTCATTGTACAACCACTCCTTTTCATGATGTAGTCCTTTAACAAAATACAAATGGAGTGTGAAACAGGCAGATTAGGCACTGTACCAAACATGGATGCTCAGAATGAGCCCAATACATGAATGACAGAATCTCATCTATATAATGAAGGGGAAATGGAAGTGATTGTTGTGAAATTGACAATGGAGACAGTGTGATGTTATGATTAGAGGATATCAAAAGAAGCAAGCATGATCCACGTCGGAGTCAACACATTGCCAGCTTCATGACCAGTGCAGATCACAGACTTCAGACAACAGCGGGCAAGCAGCACCATATATATCCACCCTCATATATATCTGTGCATGATACATACATATATCTTGATTTAGTCTGCATGTTATCATCTGTTCAGTGCTTATACTAACATAATCTGTACCATATGTATCTTTTGTTTGCTCCAGCTTTGTTTCTGTATTTTTTTAGAATGCATCTTGTATCCTCTATTTACACATATATATACATATTATGCTTAGATGTGAAACCGGTGAAGGGGGGATAACTCCCGCTTGCTTACTGCAGGAGGAGGTAACTCCAGCTGCTTTTTGCAGAGGGAAGCTAACTCCTGCTTGTTTTTTATGCAGGGAAGATAACTTCCAACTGCTTATGCAAAGTTTGTGTATTTAATGGAAACATATTTAATGTACCAACTGAATGTTTCAACTGAAAGAAAAATACTTACTTCAGTCTTATTAACAATAGAAATAATATGCTCTCTGAGACTGCTATTTGTAGTGTTAACATTAAACTGTAGTGCATTGTGGTGCTTTCCTTGATAATCTTTGTTAAAGGGATGGGGATTCATCTTGGTGAGAGTTATCTACCCTTTGACTTTGCTTTGTAACCATATGTGTTTTATCTTTATATATAACCATATCATATATCCAAATATTCACCTTTTTATATCACCCAGTGTACATATCTTGTGTTATAAATGTGCAAATATTTAAGTAAGATTCACTTGCACTTCTCTATGAACAACAGACTAAGTAACAGTAAAATATTCTTATCATGTGCCCTTTAAATGTATACTACTTGATTGTAGCCTTTGAGGTTAGAACAGCATAATTAATATTAATTGCTAGATACCAAGCGTAGTCAGTTTAACACTAATACCCTTGTAGTTTCAATCAGTATGTAGTTCAAAGATAATATGCATAAATATGTGAATATATCTATGAAGACAACTGAGAAATGACTAAAGGTGTATGTTTTTTTGTTGATCTATTTCATAGTATTAATGTTTGATGTGTTTCTTATTTCAGTATGTCGCCAGCCCCTATGCCCAGTTGGCTTACCAACAGGGGGCACAGACTGGGGCCATGCTGACAACGCTCCCCATGGAGGTAAGTGATTGGTCCACAAATGTGCCCTGATTAATAGTTACCCTGTTGTGGCCAGAACATCTTCCCTGATCTGTAGTCACTCTGTTAGAGCCGAAACATTTTCCCTGATCAAAAGTCATTATGCTCTGGCCAGAACATCTTCCCTGATCAAAAGTCATTATGCTCTGGCCAGAACATCTTCCCTGATCAAAAGTCATTATGCTCTGGCCAGAACATCTTCCCTGATCTGTTGTCACTCTGTTAGAGCCAGAACATCTTCCCTGATCTGTAGTCACTGTGCTATGGCCAGAATATCTACCGTTTTCAATTCTCCAGCTGTAATTAATGTTTAGGGTTTGTGAAGAATCTTGACATTACTGATAGTGTCAGCTGTCCTGAACAATGCTGACATTGTAAAGTCCAGGACCGGTCTTGTATGTCTGTATAATAGTTATGATGCCCTTGGCGTTACCAATAATGTCTGTATAATAGTTATGGTGCACTTGGCGTTACCAATAATGTCTGTATAATAGTTATGATGCACTTGGCGTTACCAATAATGTCTGTATAATAGTTATGATGCACTTGGCGTTACCAATAATGTCTGTATAATAGTTATGATGCACTTGGCGTTACCAATAATGTCTGTATAATAGTTATGATGCACTTGGCGTTACCAATAATGTCTGTATAATAGTTATGATGCACTTGGCGTTACCAATAATGTCTGTATAATAGTTATGATGCACTTGGCGTTACCAATAATGTCTGTTTTTTTGTTCCAGGATCATAATTCGAATGAAGAAACTGCCCAGCATCACTTTCAAGCTTATGCTGCTGCCGCTGCCAAATAGAGTAAGTAACACTGTAGTGAGTGAGTGAGTGAGTGAGTGAGTGAGTGAGTTGGGGACGTCAGGTATGATACAGTATTAGACATTTGCCTCATTGGAGAAAACCCTCAGTCCACAGGTTTGGTAACAAAGAAAAATCATAATTCTTGCACGTATTAAGGGACACAGATCTACTCAAGTTCCTTTACACAAGACCTGTCTTCCTTTTGAAAATGGCAGTAGAAATTCAGATTGTGACTGGTATGATTCTATGGTCTATGTAGTCACAAGTAGCTGTATAGAGTTATGTCCCTTTGATGACAGGATAAGAACTTGGAGTCGGCTTTCTCATGTGTGCTTGGTGTATCATACTGATTTCTGTGTGACTTTCAGAATGAAATATTTACTGGCACCAAAAAAGTTTGCATTTAGTCATTCTATTCAGTTATTTGTAGCCATAGGATAATATTCCTGAAATTGGCACTGAAACATATATGTACTCTTTAACCTTTATTTTCTGTTTCATTGGCATTTTTAGAAGTTGATGAATAATAAGAAAGGTATGATACTTTATGGATACCAGCTTCTTCATTATATTATGATGCGACGTTTCGGTAAAGATTATAATATAATAAAGAAGTTGTTATCCATAAAGTATCATACCTGTCGTATTTTAACCTTTAGTTGCTTTGTAATTCAAACTTTGTTACCTTTCAGGTCTGATGTGCTAACAGCACATGTGTGTAAGTGCGTTCCACAGACGTTTCTAACGGCAACTGGCAGCCATGTTGTGACTGGGATGTGTGACTTCTCCATTGTCATGCTGATGGACTACTGACACGGACTATTTTCTACCATTTTGCAAATTCCCATTTTTTGACTGCGGGAGTGAGAGGTTTCATGTCAGAATATTTTTTATTTTTCCTTTTTGTTGAGAGCAAGTTTCATCATAACTGTGACCAAATGAACTTTTTGACTTGTAAAAAGATATGTTTTAAGTCCTGAGTTTAGTTCGTGTTACAATGTATAGAATTTTTCGTATGTTTCGCCATGTAGAGTACAAATGTTGATCTTTTCAGAAAGATTCTTTGATTTATGTGTAAGTTTTTTAAGGACTGAGATTATACTCTTGACTATTTTGCTAATTGTAGACTTTTCATGAAGGGGGTATTGTAGTCAAGTGATCTTTACAGTTTATTGTTGTTTATTTTGCCAAATTTGAGGGATATTTTTACACCTATACACTAGGAAGTGCACTTTCTATTTTGTATGTTGGTCTGTGAATTCAGCAACCAGTGCACGGTCAGGATGGTGACTTTATTCACTGTTATTCATGGTTATTGAGCTAGAATCAACATGAATTTTTCCAGTTGTATATTTTTGTGTTAGATGTTAGATTTTGATGGCCTCCTCACAACACACCAGGGGTGTAAAAGGATGTTTGTGTATAATGTAATGCTGAACCACAGATTGTTACGTGTTTTATCACGTAATATTAGGTTAGTACTCTATTGTTGGTCCTCATTGAAATACTGGATGGATATATATATAACCAGATCCCCAAAATATTGTGATGAAACAAAAAACGATTCACGTGTTACACTCCTGTATCATATACTGAGGGAACAAAAGAAGGGAAGACATGAAAGCACACGTGTTCCTATATTTTATTCCAAGGTTTCTTCACAAGCCTTGTATCGCACAGCTTGTGAAGAAACCTGGAAAAAAATAAAGGAACATTTGTGCTTTCATGTGATCCCTTATTTTTTTCCCTTAGTATATATACGGAGCTAAAAACGTTGGGAATCATTACAATTTAACAGATATCGTGTGATAAGTCTTCACCAAAACATTATCCGTAAAACATCTTTATGATATGATCCTTTTCTTTTCTTGTTCAGTATACTTTCATCAAGTGCTAAACTGTGGTTCCATGGAAACCAGAGCTCCCCTTTACATCCCTGGGTTTTGTGAGATAAGCTGATGTTGTATGTAGATTTAGTGATGCTTTTTTACTTTTGTTTTTGAATTTTTGGCATCAGGTTTTCTGACAGCCATGTCATTGATGATGTACAGACGTAGTTTCATGCGTTTCTATGGTGATCTGTTATATGGTGGTTGTTAGCGTGAGAACGTCATTGTAGTGTATGTACATGAATCCATGTGTCTGTGTTATAGACTTTTTAGGAGACAAACAGAAACTTTTGACAGTTTTTGGAATGTCGTTTTTAGATTTTAATGTTATCTTGGTGGTGTTAACAGAAGGCTTTTCACCTGTTCATGGTAGTTTTGTACAGAATCGTGTTTTACCTGTCATTGATGATGTTCGTGGTCTTCCGTATGTGGGACAATGGATTAGTTTTTAGTGGTCAAATTTCTACAGACTTATTTTACATCAGTTTTCGATATATACAGATTTTTATCTTTCTTTTCCATTTGTTTGACCAGTAAAAATTAATGACCTATTTCTGTAGCTCATTGGATTACACCACTGAAAAGCCAATCCGGATCTAGTTTAATGAGTCAATTTCAGTTACGGAGAAATGGGATTGTTTCTTTGAATCACATTAGTAAGATCTTATGGTTCCAGAATGACATCAAGTTACATAAAGCCTTAGGCATCTATGTTCAATGTTCATAATGAAAATTGTACAGACAAATTCATTTTTGTATTAATGGTAGGGGGTTTGAAATTTATTTAAGACTATTTTATCAGTGATATTCGTTGTTCCATCAAGAATTATGTATCTCCTGTAATTTATTCAAAACATCTGTGATATTGCTTAACATTTCCTAGCTCCTATCATTAACACTCAAGTCATATTTGGATCATGCCAGGCAGGGCTCGTGTCACTGCAGGATGTAATCAGTTGAAATTTGTTATGGATTTTATTATTTTTTTTGTTACGATGGCCAGTTTCAATCCCTATTTGTAAAGAACCCACATATTCTTTGTACATATTTTTGAGTCACCCCATGCTCTGTAACATCGGAACAAACAGGATGAGGTTGATGCACCGAGTGTCCGTCGATGTGATCAGACACTTGTGTCGTAGCGATCCATGTGATGGGCTCAGCACCATGTCCTTGCATAATACACTTACCCAACTCCTCATAGATAAATGAAGTCATCTTCCTATATACTCTGTTTCAGCAAGTGAGCATGTGTCAGGTTAATGCTGGAGATGTCGTTAATGATAAGATCAGACTATTTTTGGATGAGTGTTATATATTTCTATGTACGTCATCTTAAAGAGGTTCTTGTGAAGCATCACACTCGACTAACCCAAGACTTAGGTGGCAGACATTAGTTCATAATAGCTTGAGGAAGCATCAAAAGTAATGGCCATTTATTGCTAAAAATGTGATACAGCCAAAAGGTCATTAAAAATATGGCAGTCCAACCTAAAATCAAACTCAAAGGATCAGGAATATAATATACTGGGTATATACTGGGTCATCTATCATCAAAGCTATGAGCCATCCCTGCCTAATATCAAATGAATGACCCCCTTTAAAAATCTGATAGTCACAGTCATGGCCAGTCATCAACATATGACAAGAATTTACCCTTGAAGATGACAGTAAAGTCTTTTTTATCAAGAATATTTCTGTGGCTGTCATTGGATTAGATACTGCGATCTCAAGTTTGAATGATATTACCATCAAAATGATCAGATCTATGTACAAAGTTGGTGTACATATGGGTTGGAAATCTGCAGGGTCTTATCTTCATTCTTGTGAATGAATTAATCAAATTTTACTTAGGAACGGAAGCACAGAGGTCATTCAGAACTTGGTGTCAAAGTTTTAGCCTCTGATTTTCACATCCAGATGGTGCAGAGATTTGTTTATCCAACTTAGAGAGCCTGGGTACTTTTTCGATTTGCTCTTTTTTCTTGGTGTTTTCTTGTACAGACATTGACGGACCAATGAAGCAGCTCAGTGCTCATGTTGGAATACCTCATTGTGACGTGACGGTAGACGTAGTCATGTGTCCTGGACACTCTACACAGCATGGAATAATCTCAGAATGAACCACCTCTCACAAACACTCCATCCATGTCGGATTACGTCAGTACCAACTCATGCTTGTGCAGGATACTCAGCTAGTTGACAGCAGCAGGTTAACACCATGTGTACCAGTGAATGTTGTTTATAGATGTACATACGATTAGTCTCAGTGGTGAAGAAATATACCACTAACAGTCCAGTGTTTGTCAGCTGTGAACTATCATTGTCCGTTTCTATCAATATTCAAGGTCATCTTCTCATCATCATAGTAAATTGCCATTTTTGAATGAAATTTGTTTCAATTACTTATGAATTGTTTTGAATGCTTGATACTTCAACGTTTAAACGAGTGTGGTAATGGTGGCAGTTACAGAAGGTATGGTTTGTGAGTGTCCAAGTGCAGAATAGGGTGTCATTCTGAGATTAGTCATGATGTGTTTACAGCTGTACATTACTACTGTCATTACTGTTTGTTAGTTGCTTGATCTTCAAACACATTGTCTTTTCTCCCTCTAACATCCTGCAGGTGCTTGTATTACATGTTAGATCATGCAATAAGACCCAAGCACAGTTTTACATTCTGTTGAATCATGAGTTATAAGGCAATAACTGATGAGCTGTGAGTTATGAAGCAATATGTTGTACACTGTTAAGCTAGGAGTTGTGTAGCAGTAACTCAAGCCATGTTACAAGCCAGGAGTTAGGAGGCTAGAACTCTCACATGTTACACACTGTTCAGCCACATGTTATGAAAAGATATCTCAGATATGTTACACACCATTTGGCCAGGAGTTATGAAGCACTAACTCTCAAATATTATACACTGTTCAGTTATGAGTTATAGAACAGTAACTGAGTTATTTTACCCTTTTTTCAGCCATAAGTTATGAAGCAATAACCTAAACATGTTGTATACTGGTGAAATGACAATGTATTTGAAGACCGTAGTTCCAAGATGTTATGCCATAACGTTACCTGCCTGTTTGCTGTTGTGTGGGTCTTCATGATTATAAACTTTTACAGACACACAAATGGTCAACACCTATACATGGCATTTGGCCCCAAACATCCTATTTTTCAGTTTTCAATCTGTCCAATTATCTTGTGCCTTCATTTCAAGTAGTTAAAATTTGTTAGTTATAATTATGCAAAACCAAGTGCAAATTAAATCAATACCTGTGTGATCTATGTGACAAGGTTCATTATGCAAAGCTTATTTTTGGTTACCGATCTTTGCTGTGGACATTTGTCTGCATAGAACAGTTACTGTAGCCATTGACCATGGTTATTGTCATATTGATTCTCAACATTGTTTAACTGTGTAACAAACATGTACCCACAAACAGGAAGGATGAACTTCAGCAGCAATTTGTTAGTTTCAAACTCTGATTCAGAAAATACAAACATTTCTCCAAGTCTGTTGACATTGATTCCATTTCCCATGAAGAAACACATCAAATTTCATGGACTGTAGATATACTTGATGAACACATCAGTTATTTCCTGGAGATGTGCCTTCTCTTGGCAGCAAGAGCAGCAAATGAAGGTATCATATGATTCAGGATTAGAACTGGATCTTTGTAGTCTGTTCTGTGGGTACATGTGTGACATTTCAGAGTTAGAACGTTGATGTGTGTGTGGTCCCACACTCTTTGTAACATTCAAAGCAAGAGTAGATTTTACGGGTATCTGGTTTCTACCATTGAAAGAAACTTCCAGGAAATAGCATTACAGGTTACGATCATACGTACATGGTCAAGTTAGAACTCTGAAATGTCCACAGTTTGCATGTATCTAGTTAAGTGTACAGTCTGTTTCCTATATTCCATCAGTGCACTTGTTACAACACCACATCACTATATCATATCCTAGGGTGGGATTGAAGACCTGAACTTTCAGCAGGATAGAATTACATTGTTGCTATAGAAACAGGAAGCAGCACTAAAGCACCTTGTTGCTATTGAAACAAAAAGCAGCACAGAATACCTTGTCACTTCAGAAACAGAACAGAACTTGTTGCTTCCGAGAAGATGATCAGCTAGCGGATGGATGAAGTGTGGCATCAGAGATAAACAGCAGCATGGAAATATGACTGTGCTGCAGATTTAAAAGCAGCACAGAATCATTAGGTATTTATAACCTAGGTCATCGAGGTATATATATCCTGTCATTTTTGGTGTATATACACTGGGTCATCAAGGTATATATAGCCTAAGGTCATCTAGGTATATACACTGGGTCATCATGGTATATATAACCTAGGTCATCTGGGTATATATACCATAGGTCATTCCGGTGTATATACCATTGGTTACCTAGGTATATAAATCATCTGGGTATATAACCTAGGTCATCTGGGTACATATAACCTAGGTCATCGAGATATATATTACCAAGGGTAAGATATGTATGCTGATACTTGAAGAATGGACATTGCACTGTGACTCAAGTTGTTGCACATTGTGTTAAGGTTGACGGCAACTCAATGATTGTCCAATGGATTGACCAAACACTGACCAACATACTCCACAACTAGGAGAAGGTCCTTGTAAAATCTAGTGAAACAGTGTTCTGGTGCAAAGGTTATTTTTGCAAGAAGTAGCTGCCTAGGTTTTGTACTTTGATCGCTGGTCCATATTTAACCAAATTATTTTGGATGATTTGTTGTTTACAAGTTGACGGACCATGTTGGTAGATAAACATGTTGATGATAACTGGCCCATTGCTAGGTGTTCCTGGTAGGCTTACGATGCCTAAATGAAATAAAAAGATCGGATCATGCCTCGACTTTGGGTTTTTATGTTTTACAATTGGAATGAATGAGTGAGCACATAGCTTTGGTTTGTTTATTGTTTAATCCTACATGCACCAATAGTCCATATGAGGAAGATCAGTAAATAACAGTCATGATCAGACAATCCCGTGAACATGACTGAGTTTGGTTTTACGCCGCTTTTAGCAATATTCCAGCAACATCACGGAGGGGGATACCAGAAATGGGCTTCACACATTGTGCCCATGTGGGGATTCGAACCCGGGTCTTCGGCGTGACGAGCCAACGCTTTAACCATTAGGCTACCCCACCGCCCCCAATGTGAACATGAGACATCATGAGCATCAATCTATGCAATTGGGATACAATGAGGATGCAACTTCAACCAGGTCAGTGAGCCTGACCACCTTATTGACTAGTCAACTCTTATGACATCATGGGTTGCTGAAGGCAGAGACCATATAATAATCTATTATATGGTCTCTGCTGAAAGTCATTCTATTCTGGATCTTCATGTGTCACATAGTTTAGGATGATGGCAGTGGGTTAGCCGGTGGTTAAACCACGTTGAAGACCAAGGTTTGTTTGCCCACTGGGTACAATGTGTAAAGCCCACTTCTGATGTTCCTCGCTGTGATGTTGCTGGAATAATGCTAAAAAGCAGCATAAAACCATACTCACTCACTAGGTAACAAGGTGGTTGGAAGATGGCTGGTGATAGAGTTTGTGGTTGAGGTTTAACAAACACTGCAATCAACAAATTTAGTTATATTGGGACATGCCAGCCTTACTGTGAGAGGAAAGGGTACAGCCATCAGATGTTCTTCACACCAGTAATTCCAACAACCATGCATATGGTGCTGACAGACCATTATCAAGGCTAATCTTGGATATGAACCCATGAGTATGTGAGTGGATGTCTTACTCTGCCGTCAGTCAAATATCACAGGTTTTGTAAATTGCTCTGGTGAAATCCTTGTGCAGGGGTATGGTGTTGGTGATTCATGGATCCTCATGGAAATATTGAATTGGAATGCCTTAAACATCAGGTTATCTCATAGTGTCCCCTCAACCTTGGATTCTCAAGAAGCTGTAACCTGATGTCTACAAGTATCAACTGTTGAACCTTGACCTTGGAGCTATAACCTGATGTTGTCTACATGAATCGAATGTTGAACCTTGACCTTGGAGCTATAACCAGATGTTGTCTACAAGTATCAGCTGTTGAACCTTGACCTTGAATTATCTGGAAGCTAAAACCTGCTGTTGTCTACAAGGATATGATGCAAGCTAGTTTACACGAAGGAAGTCAAGAGTAACATGGAGTAACTGATACATGTTTATTTATGTTTCAAGAAGGAACATAAATATCTTGTAGAGAGATGCAATATAAATAACTATCACAGTGTTGACAATAAAATCATCAGGTAATGCTGCAATCACTAATATAACACCCCAGTCATGACTGCCTGTTGGTTTGTTGTTTAATGCAGCACTCAGCAATTTTCCAGCTATATGACAGCGGTGTGGAAATAATAAATCTGGACCAGACAATCTAGTGACCAACATCATGAGCATCATTCTTCGCATTTCACAATTGGGAACCGATGACATGTGCCAACCAAGTCAGCCAGCCTGACCACCCGATCCCGTTAGTCGCCTCTTACGACAAGCATGGGTTGCTCAAGACCAGTTCTAACCTGGATCTTCATGGGTCCGCCTGCCAATAAAAGATCTTCAGCAGTATTATGCTTGATGCTCTTCAGGACATGGTGTGATCTACCACTTGATGACATCACTGCAGTCTACAGTGATAAAACATGATTCGGCTCCATCTAGTTTGGGGGAACTTTGAGCAAGAAGACAACTATTGCACTGTAACATGTTAAGCATTGGAACAACTATGTCATGAAGGTCCAATGAGCAGTTTGGTCTCAGCATGGTCACATAGACACACACAAATGTTATTGAGAACATCTGATCCTTTGTTAGTTGGAATGACTAACACCAACATGCACATTTTACTCCACCCACCCAGGACCGTCTCCGTGGTGTAGAGGTTAGAGCGTCCGCCCGGAGAGCGGAAGGTCGTGGGTTCGATCCCCGACAGCGTCATACCAAAAGACGTTAAAATATGGTACTTGTTGGTCCCTGTCTGGCGCGCGGCATTAATGGGTACAACAAGAACTGGTCGACTCGGAGTCAGTATAATGTGTCTGAGTGGGGTATTCATGCTTCACTGCGGCATGGTATCTCATTGGGCTAGCACTATAAAACCAGCTGAAGTCTGGGCTAGTACAAGCAGCTGCACATATACATACACACACATGCACGTCCTCATATGAGCGAAATATTCTCAAGTACGACATAAAACCCAATTTCACCTCACCTCACCTCACCTCACTTCACCCACCCAGCAGGTCTACCCGATGTCCTACACACAATGTTCTAGGCTGATACAAACGTGTAAAGGACACCAACATGCACATTTCCATAGACAGGAAGCCATATTAGACTTTTGAGATCGGTACTAAAATACCCATTCTTGACCAACACAATTCAACCCGTGCTTCTGTACACAGAAAATGACATACATCACGAACATGAGATCAACCCTGATATACCTGTTCTGTTGGACAAACACCATACAGGTGTAGACAAGATGCCATAAACCAGGGGTGGAAATAACCCATTGCCCGAAGTCCCAGTCCAGTGTTTTTTTCTGTCGGGCAAGCAAATTTGTACATCACTCTGTACCGGTGTCCAGTTGACTTTCTAATGTTAATTACAGGTATGTTGTTTATTTGAAAATCAACAAGAAAATTGGCCAGTATAGTGGAATAATTATCAGGGCAAGGGATTTTACATGTGCCACTGTACCGGAGTACACGAGCAATTTTAAAGTTATTTCCACCCCTGCAGAAACATCAAATGTCCAAGACTAATGTGAAAAGACTGATGTTCTACACCCCGTATAACCTGTGGTAATCAGGACATTAAGCCACATCCATCAAATGTGTCAGATCATGGAACACCTGGTGTTCCACACCCTGTATAACCTGTGGTAATCAGGACATTAAGCAACATCCATCAAATGTGTCAGATCAAATGTGTCACACCCACCCAGTACAACCCCTGTTGTTGTAGAATATGGTACCCAGGAACTAACATGTGTTGCTATCCACTCTTCGACTTTTCAGTGACTGGAGGGGTCTGGCGTTACCGAAATCTGAGAGATGAGCTGCATCTTTCACCTTCAGTGTCCCTCAGTATGTCCACCTTAAGAGAAAAAGCTGCATTAAAACAACAGAAATGCACACCACATGTTCTACTTTCCAATCTTATTGTTTTATTTGAAACATTCAGCAAATTAGTTAGGGTAGACTAGATTTGGTTCAATGGGAATCCCTTTCTCAACAGAGAGGACAAATCGTTCCCACCTTCTCCTGGGTAGTGATGACTGGTTTCTGCATCACGATCCATCGGACGGACTCAGAACACGATGGTGTTGTCAGCGAGCCGAAGTACGTGTAGAACTTGCCACCAGGGGGCAGCAGTTGCCGAGGATCCAGGGTCACTGAGATACCAGCTTCATGTAAAACAGAAATAATCAGTAATGGAATTTCTGTCTCACCAGTTGGAGGACTGATCTGAACAGACGTACTACCGTCGCTTCAACTACCAAGTGAGTGAGTGAGTTTGGTTTTACGCTGCTTTTAGCAATATTCTAGCACTATCATGGCGGGGGACACCAGAAATGGGCTTTACACAGTGTGCCCATGCGGGGAATCGAACCCGGGTCTTCGGCGTTTAGAGCGAACGCTTTAACCACTTAGTCTACCCCACCGCCCTCAACTACCAAGTTGTTTGGCAACATGCCTGACATTCCAAATGGACAGATTAATGTGAATACAAATTAAGAATACAGCCTCATTAACATGAATATTAGTGGATTGATATGAGTAATATAGGCTGATATAGGGACAGATGGACTGATATGGACAGATGGACTGATATGAACAGACTGGACTGATATGAACAGATGAACTGATATGAACAGACTGGACTGATATGAACAGATGGACTGATATGAACAGATGGAATGATATGAACAGATGATATGAACAGATGGACTGATATGAACAGATGAACTGATATGAACAGATGAACTGATATGAACAGATGAACTGATATGGACAGATGGATTGGTATGAATAATATGGGCTGATATGGACAGATGGACTGATATGAACAGATGGACGGGTATGAACAGACTGGACTGATATGGACAGATGGACTGATATGAACAGATGGACTGATATGAACAGATGGAATGATATGGACAGATGGACTGATATGAACAGACTGGAATGATATGGACAGATGGACTGATGTGAACAGATGGACTGATATGAACAGATGAACTGATATGAACAGACTGGACAGATATGAACAGATGGACTGATATGAACAGACTGGACTGATATGAACAGATGAACTGATATGGACAGATGGACTGATATGGACAGATGGAATGATATGGACAGGTGGACTGATATGAACAGACTGGACTGATATGAACAGATGAACTGATATGAACAGACTGGACTGATATGAACAGATGAACAGATATGAACAGACTGGACTGATATGAACAGATGAACTGATATGGACAGATGAACTGATATGAACAGATGAACTGATATGAACAGACTGGACTGATATGAACAGATGAACTGATATGGACAGATGAACTGATATGGACAGATGAACTGATATGAACAGACTGGACTGATATGAACGGATGAACTGATATGGACAGATGAACTGATATGGACAGATGAACTGATATGGACAGATGAACTGATATGGACAGATGGAATGATATGGACAGATGAACTGATATGAACAGACTGGACTGATATGAACAGATGAACTGATATGGACAGATGAACTGATATGGACAGATGAACTGATATGAACAGACTGGACTGATATGAACACATGAACTGATATGGACAGATGAACTGATATGGACAGATGAACTGATATGGACAGATGAACTGATATGAACAGACTGGACTGATATGAACAGATGGACTGATATGGACAGATGAACTGATATGAACAGACTGGACTGATGTGAACAGATGAACTGATATGAACAGACTGGACTGATATGAACAGATGAACTGATATGAACAGATGAACTGATATGAACAGACTGGACTGATATGAACACATGAACTGATATGGACAGATGAACTGATATGGACAGATGGACTGATATGAACAGATGGATTGATATGAACAGATGGACGGGTATGAACAGACTGGACTGATATGAACAGATGGACTAATATCAACAGATGAACTGATATGGACAGATGGATTGGTATGAATAATATAGGCTGATATGGACAGATGGACTGATATGAACAGATGGACTGATATGAACAGATGGACTTATATGGACAGATGGACTTATATGAACAGATGGACGGGTATGAACAGACTGGACAGATATGAACAGATGGACTGATATGAACAGATGAACTGATATGGACAGATGGATTGGTATGAATAATATAGGCTGATATGGACAGATGGACTGATATGAACAGATGGACTGATATGAACAGATGGACTTATATGGACAGATGGACTGATATGAACAGATGGACGGGTATGAACAGACTGGCTTGATATGAACAGATGGACTGATATGAACAGATGAACTGATATGGACAGATGGATTGGTATGAATAATATAGGCTGATATGGACAGATGGACAGATATGGACAGATGGACTGATATGAACAGATGGAATGATATGGACAGATGGACTTATATGAACAGATTGAATGATATGGACAGATGGACTGATATGAACAGATAGACTGATATGAACTGATGGACTGATATGGACTGATATGAACTGATGGACTGATATGGACAGATGGACTGATATGAACAGATGAGCTGATATGAACAGATGGACTGATATGAACAGATAGACTGATATGGACAGATGGATTGATACATGTATCTATGTGAGTGAGTGAGTGAGGATGGTTTTGCTTTAAGCAATATTCCAGCAATATTACAGTGGGGGACACCAGAAATGGGTTTGAGTTGAATTGATATGAATAGATGATTTATATGAATAAATGATAACATAAATATATGGTTTAACAGATAATATATATGAATAGCTGATAACATGAATTGATGGTTGATATGAACATATGGTGATATGTACAGATGGTCTCATATGTATAGATTGGTTTATACGAATAAATGGATGATATGAATAGATGGACGGATATTAAAAATTTGGCTGATATTAACATATGGGCGATATGAAGTAATACTGCTTTAACTGTATCTTACTTCCGTTGTTGTTCAGCTTTTGTACCCCATCTGAGAATGAGTTGAATGCCGAGTTGTTTGAAGATGGTCCTTCCTGCAAGAGACAGGATTTGTAGAATCACCTGCATAGGTCACAGCACATATCTGATGGATGTTTGACTTTGGGCTCGGAGTACTGTGTGACATTTGTGATTTAATTATTTAACCTGTAGTAAGCATTCAAGAAAATTCAACTCATAAATACTTCAAATTGAAAAAGTCCAAGCATAATAATGATCAACATCAACCAAAAACCAAAAAAGCAAAACAACTGTCAGATATGTAAAATTGTCTTACATTCATCATACATAAAATCATAAATTTCTCAACGGTTGTCTCCCTTAGACTATCATCCACAACTGTGTTCTAGAGACTTGTCTTCTGTAATGCTTGAATAAATATGGCAGAAACTATGTGTTCAAGCAATTATTTGAAAAAAATGATAAATATGTAAGTGCTTACATGTGATTGTGTGGAGATACAGGTAAGAATACAGGTCCCAGCGACCAATGTGATTGTGTGGAGATACAGGTAAGAATACAGGTCCCAGCGACCAATGTGATTGTGTGGAGATACAGGTAAGAATACAGGTCCCAGCGACCAATGTGATTGTGTGGAGATACAGGTAAGAATACAGGTCCCAGCCACCAATGTGATTTGTGAGGAGATACAGGTAAGAATACAGGTCCCAGCCACCAATGTGATTGTGTGGAGATACAGGTAAGAATACAGGTCCCAGCGACCAATGTGATTGTGTGGAGATACAGGTAAGAATACAGGTCCCAGCCGACCAATATGACTGTGTGGGAGATACAGGTAAGAATACAGGTCCCAGCCACCAATGTGATTGTGTGGAGATACAGGTAAGAATACAGGTCCCAGCGCACCAATGTGATTGTGTGGAGATACAGGTAAGAATACAGGTCCCAGCGACCAATGTGATTGTGAGGAGATACAGGTAAGAATACAGGTCCCAGCTTTTACCAATGTGATTGTGTGGAGATACAGGTAAGAATACAGGTCCCAGCGACCAATGTGATTGTGTGGAGATACAGGTAAGAATACAGGTCCCAGCGACCAATGTGATTGTGTGTGAGATACAGGTAAGAATACAGGTCCCAGCCACCAATGTGATTGTGTGGAGATACAGGTAAGAATACAGGTCCCAGCGACCAATGTGATTGTGTGGAGATACAGGTAAGAATACAGGTCCCAGCGACCAATGTGATTGTGTGGAGATACAGGTAAGAATACAGGTCCCAGCGACCAATGTGATTGTGTGGAGATACAGGTAAGAATACAGGTCCCAGCCACCAATGTGATTGTGTGGAGATACAGGTAAGAATACAGGTCCCAGCCACCAATGTGATTGTGTGGAGATACAGGTAAGAATACAGGTCCCAGCTTACCAATGTGATTGTGTGGAGATACAGGTAAGAATACAGGTCCCAGCCACCAATGTGATTGTGTGGAGATACAGGTAAGAATACAGGTCCCAGCCACCAATGTGATTGTGTGGAGATACAGGTAAGAATACAGGTCCCAGCGACCAATGTGATTGTGAGGAGATACAGGTAAGAATACAGGTCCCAGCTTAACCAATGTGATTGTGTGGAGATACAGGTAAGAATACAGGTCCCAGCGACCAATGTGATTGTGTGGAGATACAGGTAAGAATACAGGTCCCAGCGACCAATATGATTGTGTGGAGATACAGGTAAGAATACAGGTCCCAGCGACCAATGTGATTGTGTGGAGATACAGGTAAGAATACAGGTCCCAGCGACCAATGTGATTGTGTGGAGATACAGGTAAGAATACAGGTCCCAGCGACCAATGTGATTGTGAGGAGATACAGGTAAGAATACAGGTCCCAGCGACCAATGTGATTGTGTGGAGATACAGGTAAGAATACAGGTCCCAGCGACCAATGTGATTGTGTGGAGATACAGGTAAGAATACAGGTCCCAGCGACCAATGTGATTGTGTGGAGATACAGGTAAGAATACAGGTCCCAGCGACCAATGTGATTGTGTGGAGATACAGGTAAGAATACAGGTCCCAGCCACCAATGTGATTGTGTGGAGATACAGGTAAGAATACAGGTCCCAGCGACCAATGTGATTGTGTGGAGATACAGGTAAGAATACAGGTCCCAGCGACCAATGTGATTGTGTGGAGATACAGGTAAGAATACAGGTCCCAGCGACCAATGTGATTGTGTGGAGATACAGGTAAGAATACAGGTCCCAGCGACCAATGTGATTGTGTGGAGATACAGGTAAGAATACAGGTCCCAGTGGAGATACGCAGTACCAATGTGATTGTGTGGAGATACAGGTAAGAATACAGGTCCCAGCGACCAATGTGATTGTGTGGAGATACAGGTAAGAATACAGGTCCCAGCGACCAATGTGATTGTGTGGAGATACAGGTAAGAATCAAATCTCAAGGCAACTGTGGTTTGTTTAGATTTCTCCACTAAACGATGGAAATTCCAGGTGAGGATACAGGTCCTAAACAGATAATTAAATAGAACGGGCAACCAGACGGTAATATGGCTGATCGTCGCTCATCGTATACCATGGATCAATGCTCATTAGACTGGTCTGGTCCTGATTAGATTATTTATTGACAGCAACAATATAGATGAATATTGCTGAATGTGGAATTAAAGAAAAGAAACAAAAATCAGACTGTATCTTCTTCTCATTTCAATGTAAGCCTCATTTGGATCCCGAAAAACAACTTCTTCAGATCTACTTGAAGCTGGCCTACCTCCAGAAATATACCAATGACTGCTAATCCATCCTGCTTGGCAACAGCAGCTCCAAAACTGCCGTACTGCTTCTTGTAGTGAACCAGGTGCATCTATAACAACGACAATGGTATATTACAGGACATGTATTGAAGGACCTTTAGCTTCTTGTAGTGAACCAGGTGCATCTATAACAACGACAATGGTATATTACAGGACATGTATTGAAGGACCTTTAGCTTCTTGTAGTGAACCAGGTGCATCTATAACAACGACAATGGTATATTACAGGACATGTATTGAAGGACCTTTAGCTTCTTGTAGTGAACCAGGTGCATCTATAACAACGACAATGGTATATTACAGGACATGTATTGAAGGACCTTTAGCTTCTTGTAGTGAACCAGGTGCATCTATAACAACGACAATGGTATATTACAGGACATGTATTGAAGGACCTTTAGCTTCTTGTAGTGAACCAGGTGCATCTATAACAACGACAATGGTATATTACAGGACATGTATTGAAGGACCTTTAGCTTCTTGTAGTGAACCAGGTGCATCTATAACAACGACAATGGTATATTACAGGACATGTATTGAAGGACCTTTAGCTTCTTGTAGTGAACCAGGTGCATCTATAACAACGACAATGGTATATTACAGGACATGTATTGAAGGACCTTTAGCTTCTTGTAGTGAACCAGGTGCATCTATAACAACGACAATGGTATATTACAGGACATGTATTGAAGGACCTTTAGCTTCTTGTAGTGAACCAGGTGCATCTATAACAACGACAATGGTATATTACAGGACATGTATTGAAGGACCTTTAGCTTCTTGTAGTGAACCAGGTGCATCTATAACAACGACAATGGTATATTACAGGACATGTATTGAAGGACCTTTAGCTTCTTGTAGTGAACCAGGTGCATCTATAACAACGACAATGGTATATTACAGGACATGTATTGAAGGACCTTTAGCTTCTTGTAGTGAACCAGGTGCATCTATAACAACGACAATGGTATATTACAGGACATGTATTGAAGGACCTTTAGCTTCTTGTAGTGAACCAGGTGCATCTATAACAACGACAATGGTATATTACAGGACATGTATTGAAGGACCTTTAGCTTCTTGTAGTGAACCAGGTGCATCTATAACAACGACAATGGTATATTACAGGACATGTATTGAAGGACCTTTAAGCTTCTTGTAGTGAACCAGGTGCATCTATAACAACGACAATGGTATATTACAGGACATGTATTGAAGGACCTTTAGCTTCTTGTAGTGAACCAGGTGCATCTATAACAACGACAATGGTATATTACAGGACATGTATTGAAGGACCTTTAGCTTCTTGTAGTGAACCAGGTGCATCTATAACAACGACAATGGTATATTACAGGACATGTATTGAAGGACCTTTAGCTTCTTGTAGTGAACCAGGTGCATCTATAACAACGACAATGGTATATTACAGGACATGTATTGAAGGACCTTTAGCTTCTTGTAGTGAACCAGGTGCATCTATAACAACGACAATGGTATATTACAGGACATGTATTGAAGGACCTTTAGCTTCTTGTAGTGAACCAGGTGCATCTATAACAACGACAATGGTATATTACAGGACATGTATTGAAGGACCTTTAGCTTCTTGTAGTGAACCAGGTGCATCTATAACAACGACAATGGTATATTACAGGACATGTATTGAAGGACCTTTAGCTTCTTGTAGTGAACCAGGTGCATCTATAACAACGACAATGGTATATTACAGGACATGTATTGAAGGACCTTTAGCTTCTTGTAGTGAACCAGGTTCATCTATAACAACGACAATGGTATATTACAGGACATGTATTGAAGGACCTTTAGCTTCTTGTAGTGAACCAGGTTCATCTATAACAACGACAATGGTATATTACAGGACATGTATTGAAGGACCTTTAGCTTCTTGTAGTGAACCAGGTGCATCTATAACAACGACAATGGTATATTACAGGACATGTATTGAAGGACCTTTAGCTTCTTGTAGTGAACCAGGTGCATCTATAACAACGACAATGGTATATTACAGGACATGTATTGAAGGACCTTTAGCTTCTTGTAGTGAACCAGGTGCATCTATAACAACGACAATGGTATATTACAGGACATGTATTGAAGGACCTTTAGCTTCTTGTAGTGAACCAGGTGCATCTATAACAACGACAATGGTATATTACAGGACATGTATTGAAGGACCTTTAGCTGTATTTTAACAGAGATTTTTCCAGCTCAAAACTGACCACCTATCTGTAAAGGGAAGCTACTTTATGGATGAAAACTTCTATAATTTATTATGATGGTCACCAGCTTATATAACGACAACCAAACACATCACTAACTTTGTGATCAACAAATGACAAAAACAATTCACTGGTGGTGGCAATTTAACTAAGTGATGGAGAGCAAAATAACGCACTGAATTTTGTGAAATACTCAAAATAATTTAATAATATTAAATAGTATTAATAAAAACTAGAGGTTTGTGTAATTTGTATGACCAATATATCATATCTACTACAGATATACACACTTAGCTAATAATATTTACATATCATTCACTCAAATTTTGGTCAGTGAGAGGGGAATTATTCTGAGCATGACCTTAAAAGTGATATTTGAGAATCAAATTTAACTTATTGTATTTTTCAGAAAGTAAGATTTATATATTTTTTCCAGTCAGTATTTTTCAGTTTTAGGATTCTTGTTAATTGATTCATATGAAAACTATTGCATTAGTAGTGTGTTACATAGTGATAAGCAGATACAGAGTCTTACACCAACCTCTCCAGACATGGGTTTGCCGTCCACGTGATGTTCCGAGGGGCAGTGGAAGTGCATAGAGTCAAGGACATAGTCATTGGTGACCTCAGGCAGAAGTCTCGTCACCAGTTGGTGCTGCTTAGAGAAGGCGAGAACAGCTCCCTGGCCTAGTGTTGAAAACAATCTCATTTATATAATACACATGTAATCATAATTATCATCAACAAGGTTATTTCCTGTCTGTTGTTATAACATGCAACACTCAGCATTATTTGATCTATAGTAATTTGACCTTATGAAGATCAGGTAGCATGTCATTTATTGAGAATGTGATGCAGATGCTAAAGGCCTTACCTGTGGAACTGATGCTTCCACCCAGGGCACCTGTCTGGCTGCCCTGGTAGGTGATGGCAGTAAAACCTCGACAGTGGAGACTCTGGGTCTTGATGTCAATGGGGACTGGATGGAGCCGGCACAGCACCGCGTCTCAGGAGCCAGGTGGCTCCAGTGTAGGGGACCTGCAGTCAGTGAGTGAGTGAGTGAGTGGAGTGAGGTGGGTGAGTGAGTTGGAAAAGTTAAGTGGGTGAGTGGGTGAGTTGAGTGAGTGAGTGAGTGAGTGAGTGAGTGAGTGAGTGAGTGAGTGAGTGAGTGAGTGAGTGAGTGAGTGAGTGAGTGAGTGAGTGAGTGAGTGAGTGAGTGAGTGAGTGAGTGAGTGAGACTCTTCAGTATTTCAGTCACATAATAGTGCCTCGCTTTATGGAAGCAATGCTTGAGGTGATGTACAGGTATATTCAAGTTGTTGAATGACAAGGGATTGTAAGTGGAGTTTTTTCTGGTAATTGAAGCCATGACCTGCGAATCCTGGTATGGATAAGGGACATAACTCTCCACTGTGATTTGCAGTGTTTTACAGGTGCTTTCATAGATAAGGAAGAGGATGTAAAGTTGAGGTGGAGGAGAACTTCAGGTGTAGCAATCAGTTTTATTGAATTTATAATAATGTATATTGACCACAGAATTTGCTGATGAATCACAGTGTTGCTGCTTTGCCTGATTAGTACAATCAGGGAACGGCTGTTTGTTTGACACTGATCCTGGCTGGTTATCCCAGTGGAACGCTTGTCTCCCCAACTGTATGCGTGATGCTCAACACTGTAGTCAGCAATATTCCAGCCAGATCACCTTGAGTCTGGACCACACCATCCAGTGACTGACATCATGAGCATCACCAGCACCATCAGTCTGACCAGATACATTCAGTCATCAGATACCAAATACTATTCCCTGATATGAAGTACAGGGCAGAGTGACTCCAAAGTAGATAATACCACTAATAAATACCCTGTGAAGATAGGATAGAATTGATCTTTAGCTAGCTATGCTTGTCGTAAGAGGCAAATGATAGGAAATGATGGTCATGCTTACTGAATGGGTTCAGATGCATGTCATCATATCCAAACTGTGTAGATTTCACCACATTTTGTAAGTTTACTAATGAAAGCATGATTCTGATCACTCATCAAAAGAAATAAGGTCCTGGAATCTAATGTAGGTCAGGTCAGGCACAGCTCATGATTTCCCCACCATTACATTTGAATAACCTCAACCTAGTCTATCTCACTGTCCCTGAAACACATTATGTTCCCTACTGCCTTGCCCTCAACACAATGTTCAAGTTCTAAATGAAGCAAGTCTAGATTTCCTCAGGTTCAAGGTCTCCCATCACATTCAGGCTCCTTTTCAATTTTAATGGGTTTATTTGTTACTATCAAAATAATATGTATTCAGAGATCAAGCCATAGTCTAAACCTCAACCCTGTCATCACTGCTAGCCACTCATGAAGTGGGCCAAGGTCAAGGCCTCTTACAGGTCAAATATGAGTATAAACTTATTATCTTACCATCAGCACCATGAGGGTTGTAGGTGAATGTGACCGAGGGAGTAGCTGGACATATGTCATCAGACGGGCCTGTAGGCTGATGTGTGAACACTACCACCAAGGTTATCACAGTTATCAAAATCACTCCAAAACCGAGGACTAAACTACATTTCTTGCAAGGACTGTCAGTGAGAAGCTGCCATATTGCCACAAGGCTGTTTCTACTGCTGTCAGAAATTAAAACATCTGTATCTTTATCCATGGTAGTATGTACTGATCGATGTTCTCCACCGTCTAGTAATCAAGTTGAACACACAACACACAAGAAGTATGATCACAGTCAGGAACGCATTTTTGTACAATCATCTCAGTTCCTGAATACATTGTCACAACATCCACAAACCAACTGATGGTATTCTTTGATAGACAAAGAGAGTTAACCCTAGCTGTGAACTAGGGTTGTTTAGTTCATATTGTTGCACGGTGGTCCTTGATCATTCTTGACAGGTGGGTATCTGCACTTGTCCTTGTAAATCTCGACCTGCTGTGCTCCAAGAATGGATGTGACTCTTCTGATCTCTCTTCTGTGAGTGAGGGAAGTTTCTCACTCTGGGAGATTCATCAGCAACTACAGCGAGTAACTTCCGTGTCAAGCACCAGCTCATCTGGACAGGTAGGTACAGAATTAGTTTTCTTTGATATTTAGGAGTGAGTGAGTGAGATGGGTTCAATGCCACTTGGAAAAGTATTTCATTTAGTCTGAAGTGATGCACGTTTTAGATGGTCATGACTTTAATGAAAACCCACAAGCACAGAAATATAATCAGGATAAAATGGGATTTCAATACAAGATTCCAACCAATGATAATAGTTTTCTGGTTTGTACAAGGGAGAAAACTTTTCACAGTAAACTGTGACACCTTAGACAACTCTCAGACACATATTAAGATACAAAAAGGACACTACATAAATGCTCATAATTTAGAAAAATAAACGTAATATTCACAAAATACCCATGTATATCAACTGAAACATCCCGAAGATTTTATCCCGTTCTTGATCACAGTACTATATTATCACGACCACGTGGCAGTCCTATCTCTCAGGTATATCTAGGTTATGTGTGACCACACTTGACCATAGTCACACTATCTACACACTTCCCAATTATGAATTGTTAAGTTATATGTCATGTCTGGAGATGTCCTAGGAAGACTCAGATAACATGAAACTGTGGTGGGAGACGAACACTTTATTCCATGTTGGTTTTGCCTTGGCCTACACAGACGCACGCTGCCCATGGACCAGTCGTTGTGTACAGACTCTTAGGGAGTAATCATTATGCAACATCTCCCTTTCTTTAGAAAAGTAAAGATAGCAATTAACACACTATCCCAGCAAACAGTTTAAACAAATGCTAAACAAGTTAAAATGAACAAATTAAAGTCTATATCTCTTTCTTGAGAAATTAAAAGTCTTTGCTAATAAGCAGGACCACACGTCATATCTTCCTCCCTTTTTCTTTTAAGGCACAAAGTCCCTGTATCGGGTGGTGGTCTGACCACCCTGCCTCTCCTCGTTCTGATCTCATGACCAGGTGCTGTGCCATGAACAGAACTGTCCATGATCCTAGGAGTGTTCACAGGAGTGTTCACATCAAAGTCTACAGGAGTTTTCAAAAATTTCACAGGAGTTTTCACAGGGGTTTTCACAGGAGTGTTACCAGGGGAGTTCACAGTTGACTGAAACTCTTTCATTGACCTTTCATCCATTTTCTGCTCTTCCAAATCCAGTTCGACATCTTTAGTCTCAGGGGCAGCCTCTTGAGATTTTCTTAGATGGCGTCTATTTCTCAAGAGATCTTCCATCTTCTGCACGCATGTCATAATGATCGTACATCCACTTGTTGTTCTACACGACAGCTTTCTTCCATTTCTTTTTGTCACGACTGAATGGCTTCACCGAACTACATCTCCATCTCTCAGTTCTGAAAGTTCAGCTGCACGCATTGTAGTAGTAAGCTTGTTTGGACCTCTTGCTTGAAAGTGCGGCAGGACGTTTTCAATAGTTTTCGGCTGCAGCAATCGACTTGACGTTGGTAGCTTCGCTCTCGCTCTGCTCAAACAACCTTTGAACTGGCGAGCTGCCTACACCGCCAGTCGGCACATTTCTTAAGTCCAATAGGGCCAGAAAGGGGTCTGACTGTGCATGCTGAGACTTACTCATGAGTCTCTTGACGATCTTCACAGCACTCTCCACTTTCCCATTCGACTGTGGGTACCTGGGTGATGAAGTGATATGATCAAACTCGTACTCTGTTGCAAATGTATGGAAAGCTTCAGAATTAAAGGGAGGTCCATTGTCTGACACAATCTGATTGGGAAGTCCATGCCTCGCCGCTAAATGGGATTTCAACTTTTAATGATTTCAGGTGCCCTTTTATCATGCAGTCTGTCAACCTCAAAATAGTCCCAGTAGTAGTCAACAGTGATCAAAAATCTTTTGATCAAACTCAAAAGATCACACCCTAGTTTCTCCCATGGACGACTAGGTATTTCATGACTGACCAATGGCTCTCGTCTTTGATCCTGTTGCAGCGCATTGCAAGTATCACACTTGCTGATGAAATCTGTGAGGTCAGCGCCATATTGGGCCAATACACAGACTCTCTGGCTCTTCTGATACAACCTTGTATCCCCAAGTGACTGTAGTGAATTCTTTCCATGATGCCAGGGCGGATACTGACTGGCACAACAACACGTTCACCCTTGAACACTATGCCGCTTTTGAACAGAGAGCTCATCGCGAAGGGGAAAAAGACCTGGCACACCATGGCACATCATCTGACGACGTTGGCCAGCCGTCCTGAATCAGATCCTTCAGTATCGTCATTGATTTGTCTTCCACAGTTGCTTTTTGTAACTGGTCAATTCGTTCCTCAGATATTGGCACATACTCAACCATGTTGATGGATTCAACGTCAACGCTGTCTGACATCGCACATCAACAGCAAACACATCTCCGTCATCAGTCTCAGTATGTTTCACATGTGGAAGATATGCTCTACTCAGAGTGTCAGCAAAGAACATTTGAGATCCCCTCTTGTAGATGACCTCAAAATCGTACTTCTGAAGTCGTAACATCATGCGTTGGAGACGCTCGAGCACACAACAGACTTTTGGCGCAGTATTGACTCCAATGGCTTGTGGTCCGATTCCACGACGACCTTCCGTCCGTCAGACATACTGTTCAAATCGCTCCATGCCAAAGACAATCGCCAACATTTCTTTTCTATCTGAGCATATTGTTTCTCAGTGTTGGTCAAAGATCGAGATGCATATGCTACAGGCTGACCATTTTGGATCAGACAAACACCCAGTCCATTTTGTGATGCATCACACTGAAGGCTTGTCTCAAGGCCATTGTCAAAGTACTTCAGTACAGGTGGTTCAGACAGAATATGTTTGATTTTTTTCCAAACACTTGCCATGAACTTGCTCATCCCACCTGAAGTTCACATCACTTTTCAACAGATCCCTCAGAGGTGCAGTCACTTCAGACAAGTTGGGTACAAATTTCTGAACAAAGTTCACCATCCCTAAAATGCTGAATACCCTGCTTATCCGTTGGTGTGGGCATGTTTGTGATTGCTTCAACTTTCATGTGATCAATCTTTAATCCATCCGAGGTTACGACATGTCCCAGATAAGGCACCTCGGTCAGTTTCAGTTTCAGTTTGGATCTGTTCAGTTTGATATTTCTGTTCCTGCATCGATCAAGGAACTTGGACAACTTCTCATCATGATCAGCTTCAGCCACTTCATAAGTGTCTCCAACACCATAGATCAGAACATCATCATGTACAGCACGCATCCATCCAAACCACATATTGCCTCATTCAAACGGGCGCTGAAACTCCTCAGGTGCTGGTGACAACCCGAATGGCATTCGTGAGCCAACGGTAACGGCCCCAAGGTGTTTCAAATGTTGTCAAGAAACTGCTTTCCTCCTCAAGCTGGATATGCCAAAATCCATTTTAGCATCTGCTAAAGTAAAGCACTTAGCGCTTGATAATTCCGCAGAATGTCATCAATTGTCTTTATTGGATAATGATTCCTCTTGAGAGCTTGATTCAGTGGTTTAGGATCTATGCAAATCCTTATCTTGTCAGTACCCTGTTTCTTGACCACAACAAGGGCAGAGATCCAGTCAGTAGGAACATTCACAGGGGTGATGATCTTCAGATCAGCCAGTCTTTCAAGTTCAGCCTTGAGTTTCTGTTGTAAGGCAAGTGGAACCTTACGACATGGTAGCTGGACTGGTGTCACAGTCTCATCTACTTCAAAACGCAACAAGCCATCAAGTGTGCCCTCTCCCTCAAATACATCCTTGTAACGATGGATTATGTCCGTAAGGTCCAATCTTGCTAACTCTGTAGAAACATCCCCACTACCTGAGATCTGGAAAATGTTCTCAAAGTTCACAGTGATTAGCTGCATTTGTTGAACAGCTATTGCACCAAGTATTGGTGGTGAGCCTCTGTCCCTCGTTATCAAGAATTCAATGGTGTATTCACCCTGATTCCTGGGATTTTTGACAGTCACTTCACACTTGCCAACAGTTTGAGATTTCACTCCATTGTACATTCGAAGAGTAGTATTGACCTGTGTTTCCAACTTTTCCAGGTGGGGATCCTGAAACACATTAGCGTAGATAGTCTCTGGCAACACATTGACAGTAGATCCACAATCTAGCTGAAATTTGACCTCAGTTTCCTTGATGAGGAGGACAGCAAAAATCTTCCGTAAATACTGTTGACTTTCACCATGTAATTGAACACTGTTCACATTTTCAACATCCACTGATAAAATATATTCATCCTCAGTATCCTCATCACTCAGTAGTTGAACATTGGCTTGACTCGACTGGCACACATAAGCAAAATGATTTGGTCGTTTACATTTGTTGCAAATTCTTCCCCATGCTGGACATTCCTTCCTGCCGAACACATGACTGCGTCCACAAAATTTGCACTGTAGAGACTGATCACTTCTGGTAGTCAATCCAGGTTTAGTTTCCTTTCCTTTGGGTTTTTTGTAACCTCTAGTTTTACTGATAGCTTGCACATCCTCAGTGTTTGATAGAGATTTTAGTCTAGCAGCTGCTCTCTCATGGGACCTACAGATGTCAATACAATCTTTCAGTGATAGGTTCGAAGACTGCAGCAGTCTCTTTGCGAGTGGAGTTATCACAAATGCCCATCACCATTCGATCCCTGATGAGACTATCTTCAAGCCGTTCCATAATTGCATGTTTTAGCTAGAGTCCTAAGTGTTGCTACATAAGTATCAACAGATTCAAAGTGTTCTTGATTCCGTTTGTTGAAATTGAACCGTTCCCATGTTTCATTGGTCTCGCCAATGCAGTAAGCTTCTAGTTTGTCCAATATTTTCTCGACTTTCCTCCTATCATTTTCACTGTCGAACTGCAACCCATCCAATATGTCTAGAGTCTCAGAACCAATACAAGTTAACAGCGTAGCTGATCTGCATTCATCAGAATCTGTCTTTGTTCGAGAAGCAAGCTCATAGTTTCCCCACATTCGTTTGAACTTTATGAAATTTCTCGTCAAATCGCCCTTCAGATCAAGCTTAGGAGGCAAAGGAATGTTCATAGGAATGCGTGTATCACTTGTGGTGAAGGAATATTTCCACTTTCATCAGCCATGATTGAGTAGTAGTAGCAGTAGTTTCGCTTGTCCATATATTACTCACGACTAGCAATATAATCCGATTCACAGAAACTCCGTTAGTCACAGATTCAATATTGTCACACAAAACACCGCATGCTCTCCACTATCGAAATTAGGTGACACTGAACCACGCGTATGCCTCGGCTCTTTCAATCAAAAGATATTCAGTCAGTAATGCACAACAATTTGTAAAGTTTGTCAGGCGTACTCACTTCTGACACCATGTTAAGTTATATGTCATGTCTGGAGATGTCCTAGGAAGACTCAGATAACATGAAACTGTGGTGGGAGACGAACACTTTATTCCATGTTGGTTTTGCCTTGGCCTACACAGACGCACGCTGCCCATGGACCAGTCGTTGTGTACAGACTCTTAGGGAGTAATCATTATGCAACAATATACTCTTCAACTCAAGCACTATAAGCAGATATCATATTCTCTGTATTAAATGCTCTGCTACCACAAGTGTCCCATGACAGATTTTTAGACCAAACTGCCAGAAATCTTTACAAGTACCCCTACAAAGGCCGCAAATCTACATGACAGCATATATATACTTGTGTACAATTTAAAACCTGTTCAGCTGCTCAGGGTGTATCTGCCTCCTTTTAACCAATGAAAAAGGGTTAGTTTCACCAGTGCCTAATCCTGACTGCTTTAAAATACCCCACCATACCCCCTGTATTTTCTTTGTGTCATATATGTGTGTTATTATGGTGAATACTGTATGATTTTATTTTCATATGTGTATGCATTATTTTACATATACTCAACTCATATATATCGAAACATAGCTCTGACTCTGCAGACCCTGAGATACAGTGGCTTGTCCTTATTAAGGGACCTGGGCACTGGGGTAGCCTAGTGGTTAAAGCGCTCGCTTGTCACATCGAAGGCCTGTGTTCGATTCCCCATATGGGTACTATGTGAAGCCCATATCTTGTCTCCCCTGCCATGATATCTCTGGAATATTGCTAAAAGCAGCGTAAAACCCAACTCACTCAATCAATCATAAGGGATCCCATTTCTGGGGAGAACTCAGGTTCTTGCTGTGTCTCTCACTGGATGTATATTTTCCCAGAGCATATTTCGTAAACACCTCCCCTTTCCGAAATGACAAGCCCTTCCTTGTGCCCGATATGTCCCGTTTGTGAATCAAATAATTTGCCGAAACGGAATCTTTTGTCGCCACGTTGGACTAACACCCTTGAGGTACATCCTTGCATCTTTCTAACCGCATACATGCATTTGTGTGACAACACATAGCTTGAACATTGCACCCAATACTTACTGACAACAGCGTAGATTTCTGAGGAAACTAAACATAGCAACCACATCTGGAAATGAGAGTTACCTCCCTTAGATCGAGAAACCCAATATTGCCTATAGCTATGGCGCAAGTTGAATAGTAAGATTCAGCCTCAAATCCGCATTGAAGTACTGTCGGAAATAGAAAAAAAAAGTTTTTAGGCTTTTACTCTGTATCACTCAAATTTACACAATTGCAAATATCATATGTCGAAATAATCCACATCGACCTAACTGGTTGTTCAGTGAGATGCGTAATAGGATATCCAGAAAAGCATGTTTGTCGTAAAATCGGGCAAAACTTAAGGGTCCTTCACACTTATTTCGAATTGACAGGAATCAAGGAGAATTAGCCAGAAACTATTTTCTACCAAAATTCGAACCGCATTCGGGAGAGAATGTCAAAATAAACATTTTTTTTCAAGCTTTGTAAGAATGCTGTTGGAATACTTAGAACGCACTTCGAACCCGCCTCGAATTATTCTTACTCATTCCAAATGTACTAGATCACGAATGCAGTTCGAATGAATCGGAATACAGTAGGAATAACTAGAACGCCGTTAGAATACACTAAGAATACTTAAAATGAATTTCGACTGCAGTACGAGTCCGGTTCGATTGCTGCGTGAATAGCACTCGAATTTCATTTGAAACGTACCTCGAATGCGGCACGAATTTAAATAGAATGCATTCAGAACCTTCTTGGAATGGCCCCCGAATATGGGTCGAATGTTAAAGAATTAAAACAGAATGCAGCTCGAATATTTCAAATGTCCTTCAAATGCACTTAGAATGTAACACGCATGTCCGGTATGCATCAAGAATGCTGCCGGAATTTTCCACGATGGGGTATAAAAACCGGTTGAATCTGGACTATTCATCAGTCACTGCCCAACTCCCATAGAGTATGGACCACCTGGACCATGTTGCGGTGCTCCCGATTGCTGTCCTCCAGCAATCCCAGATTGAAAGAGATGTGGAAAAAACAGGAGAAGACCCAGGAGATTCCAGACCAGACCATGGCTGACAGAGGAAAGGAGGAGGCTGTTTGACATTACACAAGACTGATGGAAGAGCTCAGAGTTGGGGACACGCAGTCATTCTTCAACTACCTTAGGATGGAGCCTGCCATGTTTGATGAGTTGGTGCAGAAAGTGGGACCAAGAATACAGAAGCAGGATACATATATGAGAAAGGTGCAACCTCCAGGCTTGAAGCTAGCCATCACATTGAGGTTCCTGGCTTCAGGTGATACCACAGCATCATGTACAGCTTCCGCATGGCAAGGAACACAATCAACCTGATCATCTCAGAAGTATGTAAGGTCCTTTTGGGGAATACAAGGATGAGGTTATCATGTGCCCTACCACTCCAGAAGAATGGACACCCATTGAAGAGGTATTCAGAAACAGGTGGAATATACCTCATGCCGTAGGAGCTTTAGATGACAAACATGTGGCCATTAGGAAACCTGCCAAGGGCAGCTCATTGTACCACAACTACAAGGGCTTCTTTTCTGTGGTCCAAATGGCCCTTGTGGGCGGACTTTGGTGCTTACGGAAGTATGTCTGATGCTCAGATCTCCAACAAGTGCGAGCTCAAGGATTGTCTTGAAGATGGGAGCATAGGATTTCCTGATCCGTTCGCCTTACCACAAGATGACTAGCGTATGCCATGCTTTATTCTGGGAGATGATGCCTTTGGATTAAGAGCCTTCTTGATGAAACCGTATGGTCATATGACTCTCCAGAGAGACGAGAGAATCAACAACTAAAGGATAGTCGGGGCCGACGGGTAGTGGAAAATGCATTTGGAATCATGGCCCACAGTTGGCAAATCCTCCTCGCCACCACGCTGTCAAGGCCTTCCGTTGTCAAGGACATCGTTGAATGCTGTGTCTGCCTGCACAAATTGATGAGGACTCGTTATCCTAATCTCCACAATGGTATGGTGGATGAGGAAGATGAGCAGCACAACGTGGTGCCAGGAGGCTGGAGACAACTTGCACAGCTTGAAGGTGTGAATGATGTCTGAAGTTTCAGTGACGTTTTTAAGGGATTCGGCGGTGATCTGATGACTCCAGGGATCATTTGAAGAGCATTCGAGACGTTCAACATGATACATATATGAGAAAGGCGCTACCTCCAAGCTAGACATCACATTGAGGTTCCTGGCTTCAGGTGATAGGTACCCAAGCATCATGTACAGCTTCCGCGTGGCAAGGAACACAATCAGCCCGATCATCCCAGAAGTGTGTAAGGTCATTATGGAGGAATACAAGGATGAGGTTATCATCTGCCCTACCACTCCAGAATAATGGGCAACCATTGAAGAGGTATTCAGAAATAGGTGGAATATTCCTCATGCCGCAGGAGTGTAGATTGCAAACATGTGGGCATTAAGAAACCTGCCAAGAGCGGCTCATTGTACCACAACTATAAGGGTTTCTTCTCTGTTGTCCTCATGGAAATTACAAGTTCCTGTGGGTGGACGTTGGTGCTTACGGAAGTAGGTCTGATGCTCAGATCTTCAACGAGTGCGAGCTCAAGGATTGCCTTGAAGACGGGAGCATGTCGTACCCCAAGATGACGAGTGTATGCCATGCTGTATTCTGGGAGATGATGTCTTTGGAATAAGGGCCTTCTTGATGAAACCGCATGGTCATAAGACTCTCAAAAGAGACGAGAGAATCAACAACTACAGGATCAGCAGGGGCCGACGGGTAGTGCAAATTGCATTTGGAATCATTTCTCAGAGTTGGCAAATCCTCCTCACCACCATGCTGCCAATGTCTTCCGTTGTGAAGGACATCACTGAATGCTGTGTCTGCCTGCACAACATGATGAGGAATCCTTATCCTAATCTCCACAATGGTGTGATGGATGAGGAAGATGAGCAGCACAACGTGGTGCAAGAGGCTGGAGACAACTTGCACAGCTTGAAGATGTGAATGATATCTGAAGCTTCAGTGACAGGTGGCTACGTTTTTATGCGATTCGGCAGTGTTCTGATGACGTCAGGGCTCATTTGAAGAGCATTCGGGATGTTCTGACTGTATTCGAGGTGTATCCGATGTACATTCGAGCTGTATTCCAAGTGCAATCGAAATATTCCGATACGTTTATAGAATATTCCACCCAAATCCCACCAGCAATCGAAATACATTCGAGGCGCATTCGGGACATTCTTGCAGGATTTGAAGTGGCTTGCCTTTCGATTCTCACTCGAATACGTTCAGAATGCTTAGAATGCAGTAAGAATACTTAGAATGCAGTTAGAATACACTTCAAATGTTGTTCGATATTTTTCCACTTTGAATGTACCTCGAAAGTTTTGGACATGTTCAAAACATTCGGGCATGTTACACGAATTGACACGAATAGTTGGAGTGCATTCGGAATGGAGTAAGAAGTTTTAGAATGCAGCTCGAATTTCCATGAATCTCCAGAATTTTTCATTCCGACGGCATTCCGGCTCATTCCGCCTTAAGTGTGAAGGGGGTATTAGAAAAAATACGAACAGCTGCTGAAAACAATAGATCAGACTATAGATGGCAATTAGGTCGCTCAGCCAGGTATGACGACGAACCGTCGACTCACTGGCATGACGTGCTGCCCACAGGCACAAGGGGTCATCTCAAAGATAATTTATGTTTTTTCATGTGTATTCAATATGTCTCATCTATTGATTATCTTATCTTAGTTAATATCTCAGTTCCCCAGCCCGACCCCAACCACCGTCTGCGACACCCGTCCTGGTTTTGCTTTTGAGACGGCCCCTCCTACCTGTTTCTTTTTATAGTGATGGTGAGACGCCATGGTAGCTTGATCCTTAATAGTTTCAGTATTAAAGTTATTATTTTTTTTACGTCTGCTATCGTTTATAATGAAGCTAAGTCTAATTTCAAAATAATCATTTAAAAAGTGTCCTTTGTAATACAATATTTTCACACACTAATTTGCATGAAGCCATGGTCTGTTCTAAATAAGTCGCTTTGGACTTAGAATAAAATAGCATTTCTCATTTCTGCCCTAATCTCACCTCTGTAAAGACCCTGTTTTGCGTTTCCTATCTCCCTCCTACTGCGACTGTAGCTAGGCCGAATAGTTAGTTTAACAGATATTTCACACTTTCACATATTAACTACCTAAATTGTAGATATAAATGTGAAAAAAAACAGTTTTTTTCTATTACTTTAGTGTGATACTTTGTCGGTGTGTTTGTGTTCGTCTTTGCGAGTTTGTAATTAGAAAAAACTTAACCACCAACCTACGTGGTCGAGCCTATCAGACTGTATTAAAAAAAAGATGTAATACAATATATATATATATAATTTATCATAGAAACCAGAGACCATATACCGATCGGTATATGGCCTCTGTAGAAACTGAACAAAACATGTCAAATATGTATTACACTGTCAGACACTTATGTGTATGCATTCTGCCTCCTGACAGATCCGTTGTTGTAAAACCGGAAAAGTTTGATTAGCTCTTTTATTAAGTCATCATCTGATCAAACCACGAACACAGGATACAAGACAATCAGTCCGATGTATTGTCTATGATATTCTGACACATTCTTTCAAAGACTGTATACTATTCCTGTTTTACCTGTACACAGTTTTAGTAGCCCCCAAAGGCTGTATTCGGCATGGCAAGGGTATACTAGTCAACTCATGTGGAGAGAACATGTGGGCGTTGTTTGACAGCTGCATTCATCAAACTTCTCAATCAAAAATAAATATATGTGTGTGAATGTGTGATTCCTGTATAGTTACATTAAAGTAGCAACTGACTCATAGCATGCAGCAGCCTGACTCAAAGGATGTCCCAAAATGACTCACTGATGGGGCAATGTGACTCACTGATGGCGGCAATGTGACTCACTGATGGGGCAATGTGACTCACTGATGGTGGCAATACGACTCACTGATGGGGCAATGTGACTCACTGATGGGGCAATGTGACTCACTGATGGTGGCAATACGACTCACTGATGTGGCAATGTGACTCACTGATGGTGG